TTAATAATTAAAGCGGGTTAAGTTTTTTCCGGCGCACGGTTTTTACTTAAAAAATTACCTTACTATAACACCGCATGTTTTTTATATAATATATATTATATAATTATATAAAATAATAAACATTCGAAATAAAAAATAATAATAATAATAATAATATTATATTAATAAATATTATAATATAAAATAATAAACGAATAAATAAATGAAATATATATAATTTTAAATACCGGAAATATAAAAATATATTACCATTAATTTATTATATATAAATTTATTATATAAATATATATATATATTAATTAATTAAATACTTAAATAATTAATTAAAAATTTATTAAATTATTATATTATATTAAAAATTAATATATTAATTAATTTAATATTTAATTAATTAAAAATTTTTTTTTATATTTATATTTATTTAATATTATATATTATAATATAAAATTATATATTAATATTAATATTCGAAATAATTAAATTATTTTTTAAATATATTAAAATAAAAAATAAAAATATATATTAAAATATTATTATTAATATACCCGTTATTAATAACGTTAATTACATTAATATTAAAATTATTATTAAATAAAAATAAAAAAAAAACATATATTTATTTAAATTATAAATTAAAAGTTATTTTTAAAGTTTTTTATTATTTAATTAATTATTATTATTATTAAAATTTTTTTTTTATCGGTTAAATATACCATGCGTTTTTTATTAATAAAAAAAACTTAATAACATTTATTATTAATAAATTAAAAATTTTATATAAAACCACCGTTAAAAACCGGTTTAAATAACCGAATTTAAAAGTTTAATTTAATTAACTTATATATTACTTTAAATTTTTTATCGGTAACATTTAATTTACGTATATAAATTTTAAAATTTACCCGGCGGGTTATAAAAAATTATAAAATTAATATATTAAAAATAATCCACGTAAATTAAATAAATAAAAATTCGTAAAAAAAGTTATAAAATGTATAATATTTATAATTATATTAATATTTATATTTAAAAAAAATAAATAATTTAAAATATAATAAATAAAATATTAATTTATATTTATTTTTTATAAATTTAAAAAATAAAACGAGTTTTTTTTAATTAAATATATAATAAATATCGGAATAAAATATTACATTATTTATTAAATTATTTACCGGCGGGAAATTAAAGTTTTTATAATTATATTAATTTATATTATTTATATTAAATTAAATTACGTAAGTTTTAAAAATAATATAAACTTATTAAATATTATAATATATTTACGTTATTTAATAATATTTATTACGATAATATACGGCATTATAAGTTAATTTTAATATTATGTAAATTTTAAAAATTAAAAACAGGAAAATAATAAACGATTATTAAAAATAAAATAAATTTTTATAAAAAAATAATTAATAATTAAAAGTTAATATAACCGTATATTATATTAATTTTATTTTAAAAAAATTAATAATAAATATATAAATTTATAAATAAATAAAAAAGTTTTACGGTTTAAATTATTTAAAATAAAAAAAAATATATTTTTTTATATAACATATTATTATTAAATTAAAAAATAAAAATTATATTAATAATAACGGATTCCGTTAAATATAAATATAAGTTATTAAATTATATATTTTTAATTAAAAAATAACAAATTAAATAAATAAAATTATAATTAATATTATTATTATTAATAATAAAAAAATAAAATAATAATTTATAATTATATAAATAATCGGGATAAAAAATACGAATATTTAATAAAATAATTTAAATTATAAAATTAATATTAACGTTATAAGTTAATATTAAAAATAAGATTATTAATTATAAAAGTTTTTAAAATTTTATTATAAAAAAATATATTAATTATATTAAAAAATAAAAACGCGGAAAAAATAAATAATAATATAAAAATTAAATATAAATAAAGTTATAATAACCGGAAAAAGTTTTTTCTTATATTAATTAAAGTTAATTAAAAATAATTTATATAATATATTAAAAAAAAATTAATATATATTAATATTAATTTATAACGTTTTTTCGTGTTTTTAACATTACGTTTTAATTAAAAAAACGAGTAATAATTAAATTTTCGTTTAATAAAATTATTATATAATAAATATATTTCGTAACGTTTTATTATTTTATATTATTTATAATTTAATTGTATCGATTAATTAATATTCGTAAATTATAACCGTAATTATAAATAATAAATAAAATAATATTTTTTAATAATAATTATTTATTTTTATTTATTACTTATATAATTTTTTATTTTTTAATAAAATGTTTAAATTTACGAAAAATATTATATTATTTAAATTTTTATAAAAGGTTTATTTTATTTTTAATTTCCGAAGTAAATATAAACTTTTTTAAATTTTATATTAATGTAAATATATTTCGTTATTTTTTATAATTTTTTATATTTAATTAAATAAATAATTTTTTTATTTATATTAAATTTATTATATTATTTTATTTATAATAAGAAATTATTATTTATATATAAATTAATTTATATAATAATATTATTATTTTATTAATATTAAAGATTTATTATAAATTTAAATTTTTCGGTAGTTCGTTCGCGTTTTATTTTTCCGTTTTTTCCGACCGGGTTTAATAAAATAAAACTTTTAAAATAAATTAATATATATTATTTTAATTATTTTAATTTTAATTTTTTTATTAATTTAAATATTTTTAATAATAAAAATATCCATTATAATATTATATATTATACGTATTATATTATAACCGAAAACATTTAAAAAAATAATTAAAAAAAAGCTATTAAAATTAAAATTAATAAAAATAAAATTATAATATATATTAAAATTTTTTTTTTTTTATTAATTATTAAATTAAAAATCGTATTTAAGTTTTATCCGATAATACTTTATAAATATTTAAATATTATTTTTATATTCCGCGTAATTATTATTATAATAAAAATAATTATAAAAAAAATAATTTATTTTAAAAAAAATTTAACGTATTTAATATAAAAAGTTTTTACGTAAAAAATTTATATTTATAATATGAAGTTACGTTTTTATTTATTAATTAATATATTAATATAAATTTTTAAATTTACGAATTTTTTACGTTATTATTTTAAGTTTTAATTATTAATTATTTTTTCCGAAAATTTTTAAAACTTAATAAATTATTTATGTTAAATTTAATTTTAATGTTTTTAATTTTTAAATTAATTTTTTAATTTAATATAAACATGTAACGTTTATTTTTTTTATTTAATTAAATTAATTATTAAACGAAATTATATTTTTTTATTATATATTTTATTTTTAATTTTTTTTTTAAAAAATTAATTTTTTTATATTTATTATTTATAATAAATTTTATTATTTTATAAATTAATTATATAATTTAAAAAAAGTTTATATTATTTCGAAATTTATTAAAAAATAAATTAAATTAAATTATATACGAAAATATTTAATATTTTTTTTTTATTTATATAATTAATAATTATAATAATAAATTACGTTTTTATATAAATGTTTATTAATTTTTTAATTATAATTATTTTATATTAATGTTTAAATTTATATAAAGCAAGTATAAATTAATAATATATATATTTTATTTTCCGGTTAAATCGCTTATTACCGATTTTTTTATTTTTCGTAAATATTATAATTAAAAATGTTTATAATTAAAAATAACGTTTTCCGAATTTTTTTTTATTCGGTTTACGTGGTTCGTTTTTTCCGACGTTATTATTTTATTATTTAATAATAAAAATTAAATTTATTTTATTAAAGTTTTAAAAAAAAATAAAAACGGAAATTTTAAATAAATTTTAAAAAAATTAAAGTTAAATAAATTTTATAAATTTAAATTAAAATTAATTTTTATTAATAAAGTAATTTTTAATTTTAAATAATTAAAATTTTAATTTAAATTATTTAATAATTAAATAAATTTAAATTTAATTATTAATAATGTTTATTTTAAGTTATAATAATATTTTATATAAAAAAATAATTTATTTTTAATAATAATAATATAATTTTATTTATAATAAATTTATTTTTTAAAATATTTTAATAATATTCGGTTTAATAAAATTAATTAATTAAAGAAAATAAAAATTTATATTTATTAAATTTTAATTAAAATAATACGATATTTAATTATACGGATTTTAATAATAATAATAATAATTATTTTAAAAATTATTTTTTTAAGAAATGTTTTCGTTTTAATTTTATAATTAATAAAGAAATTATTAATTATTTTTTCGAATTTAATTATTTAAAATAATATAATAATTTAAAATATATTATTTTTTTTATTATTAAAAAAAATTTCATAATAAAATTATTTATATTTATTTTAAGTTTTAATAATAATAATAAAATATATATAATAAATAATAATAAATAATATATTTTAATAAAACGTCCGTTTACGTTTATTATAAACGTTAATAATTATAAATATAAAATTTTTTTTTATTATTATAATAAAATATTTTTATTTTATATTTAAAATATATAAATATATAATAAAAAATAATAATAATAATAAAAATATAAATTTAAAATAAAATAAATGAAATATTTCACGATATAATTAATAAATTAATTTTATAATTAAAAAATTAAAATAAATTTTTTATTTAATTATTTAATATATATTATAATTTTAATAAAAAATAAATATATATTTTCGAACGAAATTAATATATTTTAAAAATAAACGAATATATATTTTTAAATGAAATAAATAAAAAATTATTTTTAATATATAATATTAAATTTAAATTATTTATTATTTAAATTTAACGCGTTATAAATAATATAAATTAAAAAACATTATAATTTTTTATAATTTATAATATTTTTTAATATTATAATTTTTATAAATAATAAAATATAATATTAATAATTAAAGCTTATTATGCATTTATATAATATATATCGTAATATATAAAATGAATTGGTAGGTTAGCGGATTCGGTATTATCGTTTGCCGTCCTTTGGCTTATTCGAAGAATGTTAACTTGTCGAGTGAAATATGCATATGTACTTCGTCCTCACTCAAAGCAGTAACAATGGTATACAAGTTTAACGACCGGGAAGCTGACGATTTAAGATACCTACATGATACTGAAGTCAGAAAAAGAAGTAACTCGACAGCGAGTCTTGCCTTTTTTGTGACAAGACGAGGACAATGACAACTGTACAGGATACTAAGGCTCTCAATACCCACCTGACTAAGCTCTCTCTGGCTCTTTCCTCTTTCATACCTACTACTGTGAGTTGAAAGTTAATATTTTAGCACGGACCACTCTTATGCAAGGTGTCTTCGCTCCCAGCCTCATTTAGATTGTTGCATGTGCTTTTCCTTTTTACCTACCCGTGGACCTTGGTATTTGAGCCAACCAATTTTCTCTCGCGATCATCATTGTTCGCCGTCGATCGAGACAGCTTATTGTCATCCACCCTATCCATCCACTCATTCATTCCTAGGTTATCGCGTATTCCGTCTATAGGAATAATGAGCAACCGTAATCGCAATCATCTATAAGAATTACCCATTACTTGTAAAATTTCTGCGAGTCCCGAAACTCTGCGCATTCCTCTTCGTCGCAGCCTCGCCAACTTGCTTAACTATTCTCTCCTACCTTCGCCCCATCAATAGACCACTCGCGCAAGCTCCCCAAAGTCTTCATTATGGCCGATTTCAATCATTTCGGCGCCTCCGACGAGGAAAATGCCGAGATTAAGAAGTTAACTCTTGAAGTAGTACGTACCAGAGCTATTCGATTCGATCACATACTGCAATAGCAGAGTCATCATTGGAAGCATGGACTAACGATAACTAGGAAGCTGATACCGACAACTTTGAGTCATGGGAGAAGCTTGTACGCGCCTGTGAGGCTCAAGAAGGTGGTCTCAATCGGAACTCCAGCCCTCAAGCTCTTGCCACACTTCGCGATGTGTACGATCGATTTCTCCTCAAGTTTCCGCTTCTTTTCGGGTATTGGAAGAAGTATGCCGACCTCGAATTCAACATATCCGGACCGGAATCCGCTGAAATGGTACGTTATTTCGTTAGTAGTACTTGGTCAATCTCGAAGGCTAATATTCTGATAGATCTATGAGCGTGGATGCGCCAGTATAACAAACTGCGTCGATCTATGGGCTTCTTACTGTTCATTCAAGATGGAGACCACCCACACCCCTCATTTGGTCAGAGAGTAAGTAGAGCTGGATGTTTTTTACCCCGTAACATTTACCACACGACAGAGTCAAAAAGTACATACCGGTCCCCAACACCTTCGGAACGTTTATACACGACTGCTCTGTCGTCGACGGTGAGAAATACCAACAGAATCTATGACATGTTGGATACTTTCTCACACATTCTGCCAGGCCATGGTTTCCTACAGAGTCACCTATTTGACCTTGAACATCCTCGTCGTACTCTCAACCCCGCGCCTTCGGAATGATTTGGAATCGGAACAGTTGCATGCACAATCCCTCCTCTTCTGTATTTACCCCTCGTACCCGCCCTCACTCCCTGACTCCCCCTTTAGTTTCCGTCTTTACTGACCCGTGTCCTTAGACTCTTTGAGCGAGCCGCAAATTGTGTCGGCCTTGACTTTTTAGCCCACCCTTTCTGGGATAAGTACATTGAATATGAGGAAAGACAGGAGGCACAGGATAGAATCTTTGCTATTCTGCAACGAGTCATCCATATTCCTATGCATCAGTATGCTCGTTATTTCGAGCGGTTCCGTCAACTCGCGCACAGTCGCCCGATCAAGGAGTTAGTACCAGCTGAGACTCTTGCGCGTTTCAGAGCGGAGGTGGAAGCTGAGAGCGCCGCGTATGGCGGAGTAGCGCGAACTGAGCTCGAGGTTGAAAGGGACGTTAGAGCAAAGATCGACACTTTGTTCTACGAGATCTTCCAGAAAACCCAAGACGAGACGACCAAGCGATGGACATATGAGTCGGAGATCAAACGACCCTACTTCCACGTTACGGAGTTAGAGAACTCGCAGCTTACGAATTGGCGCAAGTACCTCGATTTCGAGGAGGGCGAGAATGACTTCGCCAGAACGAGTTTCCTCTATGAGCGTTGTATCATCACGTGTGCCTTGTACGACGAATTCTGGTTGCGGTATGCCAGATGGATGTCGGCGCAGCCGGGGAAAGAGGAAGAAGTGCGCCATATATACATGAGGGCCGCTACCCTGTTCGTGCCTATTAGCCGTCCGGGTATCCGCCTTCAGTTTGCTTACTTCGAAGAATCTTGTGGCCGCGTCGGCGTCGCGAGGGATATCCACGAAGCTATACTGATGCAGCTACCCGACTGCGTAGAAGCCATTGTGTCTTGGGCGAACCTCGAGAGACGACAGAATGGGCTTGATGCCGCAATCCAAGTCTACAAAGCACAAATCGATGCGCCGCATGTCAACATATTCACGAAGGCGGTCTTGGTCACTCGCTGGGCGTTCTTGTTATGGAAGATTAAGGGATCCGTGGACGAAGCGAGAACCGTATTTCTGAAGAATGTTCAGTGGTATGCTGACAGCCGTCATTTCTGGGAGAAGTGGCTTGAGTTCGAATTAGAACAGCCCACGAATTCAGAACTAGAGCCGCAACACACCGAACGCGTGAAGACGATCTTCGACGAGCTATTGGCAAAGAGCCGGATTTCTTCGGCAGCCAAGAAGGAGCTGTTCCTGGTGTATCTCTCCTATCTTCAAGAGAGAGGGGGGGCAGAAGCCATGAAGCAATTCTTAACAATCGATCGTGAAATCTATGGGTATGTGGTTTCTCTCCAATCAGGCTTACTTTTCATGCTAACGTTCTGCAGACCCGCGTCGCTGTCAGTGCTTGATAAACCCATGTCCAAGGAAAATGGGGTTCCGAGAACTCCGTTAGACGAAACTACTAGAGCGAAGGCTGAGAGCAGGTATCCTGCGTATTATGAGTACTACATGGAACCAGACTCTAGCCCACAAGGCACGGCACCTTTCCAGTAAGGTTGGAGGTTAATCCAAGCCTCTAGAAGCTTTTTAGAAGGATCTGATCTCAATGGGCGCGACACTCGGGAGGTAGAATGAGGCAAAAGGGTCTGTACCATACACGCGTTTCGTTTATCCAAGGACCCACAACTATAATAGGAGCACATCAGGTCTCTGATGATTCGGCATGATGAGCGTGGGGGAGGTTTCGTGTATAATGAACGGGATTTTGCTACTGGAGGGTCAGGCTGCCCTCGAAAATTACAAGGCAGTTCCAAGCACACTTCTGTTCTACAGTGAGTTAATGAGTTAATTCGAGAATTAAAAAAAAATATAAAAAAGAATTTAGATCAATTTGCCAAAGTCTAGATTTTGCTATAGATAGTGACGCGAATCGATGTTGAGTCAGAAATGAACTGACTCAGAATTTCTATAAAATCTAGAGACTTGGCATGCTAAGAACAGGAACCCGAGGGAGTGCGAAAAGCCGAAGCTATGAACCGACTTTGATCCGGTGATCGGAGATAAGGCCAAGCTCGTACGGGCAGACATCCTTGGATTTTCTTGGATTTGGAAGTTGGAAGCGTTCCTGCTATGTACTACTAGAGCCCGAACATTTTAAAGGTTCGGCGTCTACTGCGTTCTGGCTTGGGCAAGACCCTGACGCCTTGCTAGCAAAATATTTCGACAAGGTACCCCAATATACGGGTACAGGTACACGTACTAGTCCCACTGTTTCCCCGTTCTGTGTGGCGTCAAGTGGGTTCGTGTTGAATAAGCTTCATGTTCCTGACAAATACTTTAAACGTGCGTATGTACTGTACTTAGAAAAGTTCGCCGATTATTCCTTATCCAGATAAACCAATTGAGTTTTGGAATATACGGACACATCCGCGAATACCTATCAGCAACCTGTATTTGCCTACCTCTGTACGTAAACTACAATGGATATTTGCATTGCTTGTGTGTAGTTTCAGAAAAAAACACGTGATAGGCAACTATGCGGGATGCATGCTCGCCCATGAGTTAGAGATCTGGGCGTTGATTCGCCGCTCGAATTGGCATCAGATGTTGCCATTCACAGTAACTCCGTCGAAAACGCTAGCACGGCACCACGAACGCCGTTTAGGGCGCCTTATGGACCCGCCTAGAGAAACCGAGAGAAGACGATTAGGGGGCGGTGGCCAATAGGAAAGCTCAGATTATTCCTTACTAAGAAGGCCGTTCATCTCAGCGACGGTACTCCTGCCCGTCCTCGGCTTTCTTTTTCAGTCTTCTGTGTGATCCCAGGGATTACTTTCTTCTTCCGACATTTTTCTCCCACATAACAATATATCTCAGTTATCGTATTTGTCTCTTCTTTCCTTTTTCGGCGTATTCTATCCCACCACATTCCTCTGCTGCGCATTAGGAAAGTCAAGGTGAGACAATCATATACCGAAGACATTGGTATCGTATCTTGTTTCTAATCAGCGATATATTCGGCGTTGCAGATGTCTGCCTCGACGGTATCTCGTCAGATCGCCCGTGCGACCCTGCGCACCACCGCCAGAAACACATTCGCGACCTCTTCTCGACAGGCTTTCCGACAACATGGCCGCCGTTTCTACTCGTCCGAGCCGGCTAAGTCTTCAGGGTCGTCCACCCTACTATACTTAGCGGGTGCTGCCGTCGCAGGTGGTGCTGGTTACTATTTCTACGCACAGGGTGGTTCGGCCGGTACCAAGGTCTTCACCCCCACCAAGGAGGACTATGTGAAGGTGTACAACGAGATTGCCAAGCTCCTCGAGGAGCATGATGAATATGACGATGGTAGCTACGGTCCCGTTCTCCTTCGTCTGGCATGGCACGCTAGCGGTACCTTCGACCAGGCAACTGGTACTGGCGGTAGCAATGGTGCCACCATGCGATTCGCCCCCGAAGGTGACCACGGCGCGAATGCTGGCTTGAAGCATGCTCGCGACTTCCTAGAGCCTGTTAAAGGTACGTTTGTATCAGACGATGAGTCAAGTGGCAATCCTGTGCCCTTGCATAAATGAGTAAGAAAATGACACAGCATGACTAATACTCACCTGTAGCCAAGTTCCCCTGGATTACCTACTCCGATCTTTGGATCATCGGTGGCGTTGCTGCTGTCCAGGAGATGCAAGGCCCCATCATCCCGTTCCGGCCTGGTCGCCAGGACCGGGACGCTGCGGCTTGCACTCCTGACGGACGTCTTCCGGACGGAGCTCAGGGCGGAGACCACCTTCGTAACATCTTCTACCGCATGGGTTTCAACGACCAGGAAATCGTTGCCCTCGCTGGCGCCCACGCTCTAGGCCGATGCCACACGGACCGAAGTGGTTTCGATGGCCCGTGGACTTTCTCCCCCACTGTCCTGACTAACGATTACTACACTCTTCTCTTGAACGAGAAGTGGCAGTGGCGTAAGTGGAATGGTCCTAAGCAGTACGAGGACGCCAAGACCAAGTCGCTCATGATGCTTCCGGCCGACTATGCCCTTGTCCAGGACAAGGCTTTCAAGCCATGGGTAGAGAAATATGCCAAGGACAACGACCTCTTCTTCAAGGACTTCGCCGCTGTCGTTAAGAAGCTTTTCGAGCTCGGCGTCCCCTTCAAGCAGGATACCGAGACTATCATCTTCAAGCCTACCAACGCTTAAAGATTATCTTATGAACATGATACCATTATATAGATCTAGAGAAGACGATACTAGACAAGACGTTAGATCAAGACGAAGACAAAGACGAAGACAGATAATGCTAGAGCTAGATCTAGATAGACCTGAAACTAGAGACGATTCATGTCGTTAACGACGAAAGAAAGGAGGATTGAGGGGAAGAGGGGTACCCTGCAAAGAGCAGGTTGGAGATCTTATATATTATGTATGTATGTGTGCTTACTAGCCTAGCTGTCATATTTACTTGCCGGTGGTTACTCCAAGGGAAGCTGAGAGTCGTCGTAATCAACTAATAGTGTCCTTTTCATACCTGTACTGCTTTGATTTTTGTTCTAACCGTCCAGTGATGGTGACGATGATGTTGATGCTGAAGTATCAAATATGAAAGTGCCGAAAATAACTTAGTCGGCTTAGAATCATGATGATTCTAATAGGCTGATGATTCCTCTAAACGTAATGACTCCATACCGGCTCCATTCTCTTTGTCTCCACTGCCATGTTCTGTACCTACGGTACCTATACAAAGTTATGCATGGGGTGAAGCCTGCCATTTTAGTGTCCCACTCTTTTTATCGGATCGCATCCGATCTGCAAGCTTTCCGAAAGTTTGAGCTTCTTTCCAAACCTTCGATTCTTCAAGGTCTATTCCCACGCTCTTTCTTTCAACCACCTTCCCCAGGTTCCAATTGGAGAAGCGTGGTGGGTACGCTACTTCCTATCGTCTCTCTTAACAGATTCTACTCTTTCTTTTTTTCCTTTTTTCTTTTCTTTAGCTGTAGGAAAAGACCGGGAGGCCCAATGGCGACGGCCCGCATCCCCGCCCTGCGCAACCTGCTAGGCCGACGGCTGCCCCTCCGGCCGCCGCCGGCCCAGCAGCGCCGCTGGGCCCAAGTCCATGACGTACGATTCCTAGCGACGACCCAGGCGAGCCGCAGCGTGACGGAGAAGTACCGCGAGAAGCTCGACCGCAAGGCGCGCGAGGAGGGGCTCAGCGACATCGGCGAGCTGAAGGAGGCGTACCGCGACCGCATCCAGGAGCTCAAGAAGAAGGACAGCGTCCGCATTCCCGGGCTCGACGCGCTGCTCGCAGATGAACCCGCGCCGGGGACCACCACCACCGCCGCGACGAATGCCGCGCAAGCACAGACTAATAATACGAGCGAAGCTTCGGACAAGCCCACTCAGACACCGCCACCCTCGCCGCACACGGGCCCCGACCAAACAACAACAACCTCGTCCATTAAACCACTCTCCTCCATCCTCGACCTGCATAAAGCCCGCGCGCTGCCCGAGAAGGAGCTCTCAGCAATATGGCGGCTCCGCCACGCCTCCTCGCCGACCTCTCTCTGCGCCGTGATCCCAGCTCCCACATACGCAGCTCTCGAAGCCACCGCGCGCAGACACCCTACTTTTGTCTTACCGGTGCCGCGCGGCGCCGACGTCGGCGCCGAGATACACTTCCTGCAGTGGGTGTTCGACGGCGGCTCGCGCACGGCGACGGTGTTGTTCACGCAGCTCGCCGAGTACAAGGCGCGCGGCGAGTGGGCGCAGCCGCACACGAGCGTCACGCACTACTTCGACGAGGGGCTCGCGGAGGCGCCGGGCGTGGTGCTCATGGCGGGCAGTGTGGTCGAGGGCCGCGGGGCGAGTGTCGCGGACGCGAGGTGGCTTGTTATGCTTTTGCAGCGCTTCTACGGCGGCGAGGGCAAGGGCGGGGATCAGGGGAAGAGGAGGTTGCTGGAGCAATTTGGTCGCGGGGACGGGGCGTTTAGCGTGGAGAGGTTGTTGGAGGAGAGCGAGAAGTTGGGTTAAGAGGATTAAGGACTCGAAGTGAGACTAAAACTAACTGCCAACTGTCGAGTCTACTATGCTACGCAACAGTACACTCGACGATGGTCTGTACACCCATGGATGGGCATACGAAGTATATACGGGCCCCCAAGGCTGGTTCCACATCGGCTAAACGACTGACCACGCCGTTTACGAATAGAGGATGGAGATACCAATAACAAAAGGACATTCGGTTGTACAATTATATTTGTATATGTACAAACTCTATACACTTGGGTATTCTAGAAGATAGACAGAAAGCTATACTATCCAAGCTTGATCTTATATGCCGCTGCTTCCTAATTTGCTCTTCATTATATAATCGCCGCCACTATACCCAGGTATCTTTATAACTTGGGCCCCTTGGCACGCTCGTCCTCCTTCCTAGCCTGCTCCTTCAAAATTCTGCGCAGCAGCTTGCCGCTGGCGTTCTTGGGCACCTCGTCGACGAACCGCACGCCGCCCCGCAGACGCTTGTGCTGGGCCACCTTACCCTCGACCCAGGCCACGATCTCGGCGGCCTTGTCGTCGGTCCGCGGCACGCCGGGGCGCAGCACCAGATACGCCCGCGGGACCTCGGTCTCGCGCTCGTGGTCGTGCGCGGGGACCACGCACGCGTCGGCGATCTCGTTGTGGCCTAGCAGGATGCCCTCGAGTTCAGCGGGCGCGACTTGGAAGCCCTCTTTAGACGTAGGTGTCAGCCTTTCTTTCTTTTTATCATATTTTTTTTATCTAATAGAGTAGGTTAGTTGAGTAGTACTTACTATACTTGATCAATTCCTTTAGCCGGTCCGTGATATAGAAGTTGCCTTTGACGTCGACATATCCGATATCGCCCGTCTTGAAGAAGCCGTCCTCACTGAAAGTGTTCGCCTGCAGCTCGGGACGGTTGAGGTAGCCGGGGAACACATTAGGCCCGCGGAACCACAGCTCGCCTTCGCCCTCGCCCGGTCCCCGCTCTTTGCCGGTCTCGATGTCGACGATCTTAGCCTCGATGTTGGGGAGCAGTTTGCCGCAAGATCCATTGTAGCGCGCCCAGTCGGCAATGTTTCCCTTGGTCAGGACGGGCGCCGTCTCCGAGAGCCCGTACCCCTGCATCACGGGGATGGTCAGGCGCTGCCACACCATCTCAACGAGGTCGCGGCCCAGGGGCGCGGCGCCCGAGTTCATCCACTTTAAAGAAGATAGATCGTACTTCGAGACGGATGGATGCTTGGCTAGCGCAAGAATGACCGGCGGGGGAACCGAGGCGTACGTTACGCCGTGATCCTGGATCGCCTTGCAAAACTTGTCGAGGTCGAACTTGGGTAGTATGACGGCCTGGATTCCCATAAATATTCCTTGCAGCGCAATGCAAGTGAGGCCCTGTTTTATACGTGAGTTTCTTACACATTTATATGGGGATATGGTTATGGCTTACGTATATATGGAAGAATGGGAGTATTGCGATTTGCCTATCACCCTTTCCGTCAGGACCGCCCGAGTGAAAAAGCCCGTTAAGCCTTTCGACATGTGCGATCTGCGTCAGATTGGCGACGATGTTATAATGTGTAAGCATAACACCCTTAGGTAACCCAGTGGTACCGGAACTGTATACCAGGAAAGAAACGTCCTTCTTAGGGTCGAGCCTTGGGCGAAGCGAAGGTATCCCCAGGAGACTCGAGTGACGAATCTCAGTGAAATGCTTAAATTTGCCATTAGGATCTCTTGCATCCCCGAGCAAAATAATGCGGTCTTCTGGTAGGCCGATGATCTTTGCGGCTTCAAGTACCGCAGGTAGCATAGGTACTTGCGTTACGATTCCTTTCACTTTAGAGTCTTTCATCTGAAATGCTAACTCTTTGGTCGTGTAGTTCGGATTAGCAGTCGAGCACGCACCGCCAGCCCATAGCACGCCGAAAAATACCGGCGCGTAGTCGATGCTGTTGGGCGAGAAGAAGCCGAGAGCGTCGCCCTTCTTGAAACCCCATTGGGATTTGAGCCCCTTTCCAAATTCGACTGCCGTATTTTTCACTTGAGCCCAGGTGTAGGTACGCCCTGTCTCAGGGTCGACGTATATCTCTATTATCATACATCAGAATTTTGTAGTATTTTGAGTTATCATGTCACATGTGTAATGCATTCTTAAAACATACCTTTGTCATCTGCGAAGGGCCTATCCTTCCTTTCGAATATAAGTTGCCATAAGTCGATACTCGGTATCGACAGAGGCGCATGAAAGGACTTAACTACCATTTTGACGACCGCAGGCTCCGAGAAGCGGCAAACGAGAACAAGCAACGACTAGACCAAACTGTAATGAAATCACCTTTGTGGGTAGCAACACTTCAGAATGTTGAGTTTTGTACTAGTAGAACGAAAGTTGAGGTGAAACAAGAGATCTAGCAGGTTGGGTCCCGCAGTAAGGGTCACAACTTCCGAGGTTGTTAGGAATGAGTAGGTACGTAACAAAGAAGCAGTAGCTTAACCAATCCTACAGCTCCTTCCTGGTTTAGAGCCGCGACGTCAATCCCGGAAGGCCGTCCGATCTAGCTGCTACGACATAGGTAGTTAGCTACTTCCCTAGGTAGCTTGACGAGTGGAGAAGGCCAATTGACTTTACCCCGATTCACCTCATTCTTCCTCTTTAAGGTTTGGCCCCTTGTGTGGTATCCGAGGAACGTCCACTGATCACATAATCTACCCAAGCAACTAGGTAAGGTGCCTAGGCAATGATCACTACCTAACCCAAATTCCTATCTCGACCCGGAGAGGGGTTCTCCATCATAGTCCATAATTGAGGATCGGAGGTATTAACCTATCCCCGTTCCTGGCCCGTATCCGGCGAAGCATGATAACGTAGCTTGTTAAGCTTGCGTAGCTTCTGTGGGCCAATTGTACGAGAAGCCGAATGGGCATCTCGCAGACCAACCACAGCAAGTAAAGCGCTCAGAGGGAATGGCACGGGAACCCCAGATCTTTACCTAGACAAGGATTAGAGCAAGATCGCTAACCCTACAAAGATAAGCTTCAAACTTGCCGCTGCGGGGGAATTCTGGAGAAATTTATGAGGCTTGTAAGCGGTGAGAATAGAGTTGAATGATAAAATGTAATAACATATTTTCAATCTGGATCACGAAATCAGGCATTGTGATTTATATAGATTTGCATTGCAAGGCTAGAAGGGTCAAACAAATTTTGTGGGAAATCGCATGGTGCAGTCCGTTGAGCGGATAAATATTTAACCTGGGATTCGACAGAAGCCGGCCTTCTGACAATGCTAAGTGAAGTCAATGTTAATAATAAAAAAATTAGGGTTGAAATAGCATGTTGCTATTAGGACTTCTAAAATATTGAATCTTAGAAGACTCTCATGGATATGTACCTAGGTATATACCGTATTCGATGTGCGTTGCCTTTGTATATACATATAACGTGTTGTAATCGTTTGCCATAAAAATTAAACCATCCCATACAATTACGTAGTCGTGTCCAAAAGGTAAAAGCATAAAGGGGTATCATGTTCTAGTAAGGATGAAGGATCATGCCGAATCGCCGCTCGATAACTCCGCATTTCCATTATCCATCGAGACACCCTCCGGTATCCAGGCTGCGATGTTCTCGCAGCCGCTCGGGATCTTACATTCGTCTCGGACATTACATGTCTTCCACAGCACCTCCCGAATCTCCCGGAAGATTTGATCCACGGCATCCATTGCCCATATAACGTCAAGATGTTCATATTCCGGAAGAATCTTGCTGTGAACCAATTTGACATGTGGCTCTCGTCCCTTCTCGAACCGATGTAGTAATTTCCGTCCGTCGACAAGATCGTCGTTTCCGGCTACCCACAATGCGAATGGGCAGACCTGCTCATTGTACCAGGCCGTCATGCCCTTAGGTTTTCTGTGGTGTTCTCTAGCACTGTTCGCTACACCAGAGTCTCTACGTTGGCTATCTGTTTCTGCCAGGGGTCCATCAGTTCCGTCTTCCCGATCCTCACTGTGCCACTCTTCCTTAGTAGAGAGGATACACTTGTGTTTTGCGAAGCATTCCCGACCTAACCACCAACGCATCGATTCGGAGCTTACGTAAACGGGTGCAAATTGAAACATGCGATCCCTCAAACCGCGATCCCAGCGAGTGTCCGTCCAGTCAAAGAGGAACGAGAATACGGTATAACCAAGCTGTCCGTAAATGTGAGGATGAAGTATCGAATGCATCGTCATCATCAAAGGGATGAAAGCGTGGATACCAAACATGAGTCGGAAGAGAGCCGGTGATATGACACGCATAAACTTGAAGTACATCTTGCCAATCAAAGGTCCGGCATAGGCCGCTGGTGCAAGGGCGCAAAATACGGTGAGTTTTTCACCAAGCTCTGGACGTTGTTCTTTCGCAAGGGCTACAAAAGTTTGCGTCGTACCTTGGGAGTGGCAAACCAGCCCAATCTTCTCGAATCCTGTTTCGAACAACACCCTCGAGACCAACGCGGACAGATCAAAGACGCCCATTTGGCGGATGTTCCAGCACCACATACGAGGATCTGAATAGTCTAGGAGAGTATGCTTAGGGTGGAAACCGCACCGGTTATTTCCAAGCCACACGTCGTAGCCCGACTTGCATAGGTAGAACGCTAACGAATCGTCGTCATTGACGCAGTACGCCCCTGAACTCTGTAGTAGTCCATGCATCAGGAGTACTGGGAATTTGCGCTTTTGGCCGGGGTCTCTTAGTCGCCTCCTATAATCCCCTGTAAATAACTCCGGTCCTCGGTAAGATCTCTCTTGGTCATCCAATTTAGTGTATTCTCGAGGATCATAGACGTGCCAAAGATCGATGATAAATCCATCTTCGGTTTGAACTTCAAATTCTTCGACGTCTAGGCCAACCCTCCGTGCATAATAGCCAACGTCGCAAACGACTGGATCTGGTCCACCCTCTGTCGGAACATAAACTTCGCTCTCCTGAGCACGTTCTTGGTCCGGAGTCCTCTGTCCTTGAGACTTCCGCCTCTTCCAGGACCTTGCCTGTTCCTTCCGCAAATTCTTCCTCCGAACTTCCTCTTCATAGAAGGGCCTTCGAGCATCGGGGTTTCGAAATGTTAGACGTAGCCATATTTTAGTGCACGCCCTTGGTATGCTCGTAAATAAAGCGCCGAGAACGATAACGCCTAAGAAGCCCGCACTTAGAAAAAATGATGATGCTCGGAAAGTCCAACATTGCATGTCTCTGAGTAAAGATGGCGGCCCGTATAAAGGCAAAGGAGGAAAGAGAGGGTGCGTGTTGGTCGGTGGCATGGTGCGCCTTAGAGATACCTCACTCGACTTTTGCGCCGCTTTGTCCTCTGCATGGGATGCTGGCCCGAAGCCAGCAACAGCGCTTGGTGACACTTGGGCATTATCATCGTGTTGACCAGCCGCTTCTTTCGAGAACTCGCTGCTTATTTCGTCTTTCAGTATATTTAGTTTATGAGCCTGTTCAAGTGGGACAGGAGGTAGTCGGTTCCCGTCGGCTGTGACAATAACAGGATCTTGCGGTGTAATGAACTGAGCCTCAACCGCAACGGTCTCTGGGAATTCATTGTTCTCTGCTGTTTGAAGTGAAAGTTTTTCTGCTTGTTGGGCAAATTCAACAGCCGTGTGGGCAGCGAGGGAGCCAGACGGCTGTGATTTAGGTAAATGAGGGTCGGTATTGAGTCCCATTGTGATGCTTAACCGCAGAAGTTGTATTCATCGGTGTTCGAAGACAATCCGAGACATTCGATTTAACTGTAACTTGGATAATGAATTTTTAGAAAACGCAAACCCGACAACCAAAGAGCCTAACAGATCTACGCCACTGGATCTAATTTAAATCTGGCAAGCAATCTAGAAACTTTGAATCTTCCGAGTGTCAGCAGTAAAGCGCCGAACCCAGGTTGGATTCCAGAGCAGATCAGCCACCTACGAAATTGAAGAATAGGTTTATATATAGAATAGAAGAAGTCGATACATATGTACCTGGGTAACATGCATATGACTAGCGTAAATCGATGAATGACTTGATCATCAGCGTAAAAATGGAAAGAGGCCCCCTATTTACAGGGATAGAGAAAGGTAAAATCTTGCCAAGGTACAACCCGGAGATAGAGAATACTACGTCATTGCCGATCTAGTCTAGATTTTCGGAATCTTTGCTCCTTCACCACTTGGTCCCTGATCAACAAATAGTATATACGTAGGCAGCACAGAAGTCTGAAGAAAAGCTCGGCGAGTCTATCTCTAGTTTTGAAACAAAGACATGTGAAGCCGAAGAGAATGGATACCGATTCTTTGGTGACTTGACACTAGTCAATTAGTCCGATTCAGGATATATGGCTTCGGAGGCGAATTGTAAGCAAACTATTCTTGAAAAACTTATGACCAGAAATGAGTAGGTAGTTAGCTAGCAATCTTTATAACTTCCTAGGTGGCGTTGTTAAAATAGGAATAAAACTTATAAAAGTTGCTGAAGAAGTTACGGGGGTAGTGTAGATTCATGGTAGGTTACTTGAACTGTCCCACTTCGTATAACCCTTACATTGTAGTGTGAGTTGCGGTTGGCAAGTATAAGCGAAACTAGGATTTTCCATACGTAGTCGTATCTTTAAACAACAGGCAATAAAATGGATATAATGTGTACCTAGGTATTAAAGTGCACCGGAGGCATATAGAAATGACTAAATGTATTGCTCTAACAAGTCTTTGTACAGCTCGGAACGGATACCTCATGATTCAATTCTGTTGGTTAGTACTTGGGTACATGAGCCTGTACCCCTGAACGATATCGATAGCAGCCACATGGAATATTCGATTGGTCCGTGCATATATTCGGTAGTACGTACCGTAGGTAAATCTTTTTATCGATTATCCGTATGGGTAACGGTCAAGGAATGCCTCGGCCAAAAATCATTTGGACACCGAAACCGAAGAAGACTTTTGGGCGATTTGAGGAAAAGAGGATAGCTTACGACGTGGCAGGCTACAGCAAGGAGATAGTCTAGCTACTGCTGGCCCTCATGAGAACTTAGTAGCTAGCAAAAGGCTCCAGCTTCATGAAGTGGTCTTTTTTCTCATTCTTCCATACTTGGGTACTCGTCATCGTTGAATATTATTCTATAAACACATCCCCTATGCGCGACGCCTCGCGACTTGCGGGGCCCTGATCTACGGTACCTAATGATTTCTCTATCACGGCGCACCGCTCCTTAAACCTTCAGACCTCGCAACCCCTACGTCGCGATCATGGCTGCAACGAATCGCGATCTAGCTGCTCATCGCAAACGGAGGAGGAGGAGAAGGCAAGACAAGCCCGCCATCTCAGCGAGGCTAGTGTTGGACAACCATGTGAAAGGAGATATCGGTATCTTATCCGATGATCTATTCGCTGATCTGTTTCCTCACTTGCAAGACGGTAAGTGTCTAAGTGTCTTAGGGGAGGGAGAGTATACCAGAACCCCCAATCTCTCTGCACGTAGCCGTATCCGGGTCTAATATGAATTTGAACGTGGTACAGACTCTAGCGACGGTGAGACTAACCAGGCCCCCGAAATTTACCATGTTGCTATTGCTCCTTGGACGCCGTCCCCGAGTCCTCATCGAACAAACTGGACTATAGTCCCAATCGCTAAATCTACTGCCCTCGCTCACTCGACCGTCCAATTCTCCCCTTCGTCTCTCGCTTTGCAAAGTTTTGCGACTACCTTACAACAGATTGCCCCCTCGAAGCTATCTAGTCATAGTCGGAGTGGCATTGAAGTATTAGTGTTGGATGTTACCGCTTTACCTCTAGATACCGTCTTCGTGAACCTCGAGAGTGACCTTGTGAAGAGACTAGAAGATGGAGAAGGCACTTTCTTCACCGACCATCCCTCCGGTAAAGAGAAAGCTGTTGTTGGAAGTGATACTCCCTCGGATAGGCTCGCAGCTGCGTTGCGCGTGGCTCTGGGCACCTTGAAAGTCGTTCATAATGGTGATCTATTCCCTTTACCATTACCACCGCACCCCATCACTCATGTCCCTTCTACGCCGGGCAAGGTAACACTATGTGAACCCGTAGCACAGGGTATTCTAGCGCCAACCACCAAAATTATCCTGACAAGAGGTCACGGTCAGTCAAAGCAGGGGCGGAAATCAATTGCTCCACCACAGGCCTTAAATAACGTCCAGGAGGATGATGACGCGGCGACCGATCAGTTTTATTCCGCTGCCGAAGAACGCGTTAAAACGGATGCGCCAAACGACACCTCGGACTTTATTACGGAAACGGATACAGAAGCATCGGATCCCGAGAATGAGGATGAGCTCTCAGATGACTCAATGGACGACATCATATCTCTCCAAGCCCCGGCGCTGCCCTCTACAAATGCGAGTGGCATCTCTACCATGCAGCCGGGAACCCCCATGACATTAGGGCGCGGGAGAAAGACCAACGGTATTGCCTCTCCTACCTCGGTCTTCTCAAGCTTCACTGCTACTACTGCTCGTCCGGATCGTCCCAAAGGTCGACTCTTCAAGGCCCATGGTTTGATGAACCCGATACCTTCAGAATTACTTCACCCGAAGCCGACGGCCGAGGACGACGAAGAGGTACGAGTATACGTGGATATCAACTCCTTGACTAGGATAGGGTGCTTTTCTGGGGACTGGGTTCGCCTCGAGGCTTCAGAGGAGCCTCCCACAAATGGCATTGGCCTGTTCGGCCTTGGCAGTTTTGGGCAACCTGGTTTAGAAGAGCCAACATGGAGGCCAGCCAAGATTTATGGACTTCCTGAGGGATACTCACATCGGCCCATGACGAGAATTCCAAGTTCCAAGCACGACTTCGGCAACCGAAGAACATCCTTTTTCGAATCACAAGTCGTAAATTCGTCGGGGCCTGGCGCATACATGTCTCCTATACTAATCGCAAACTTGGAGAATGCGCCGTATGTTCGATTATCCCCCTTAAAAAAGACGGCGCATCCTCCAAGGCCGGGCCAGTCAAAAATTACCGGCTCCTCTCGTCCGCCTTACGCTCGGGACGTCACCCTTCAGCAAATTCGGACACCCGTATCTTCCGAGAAGGCTCTTCAGACAGCTATATTTGGTGGCTTAAAAGATCATTTTTCGCGTAGCATTCGCGTAGTTAAATCTGGAGATTTGATCGGAATTCCCATCGATACACAGCTTGGGAGGACCCTTCAAGAATCAACTACTGCCGGTGACGGCCTTGCGCTTGACGATGTCGTAGCTCTTGCGGCCTCGAACAAGTCTGGCACCGGCGTTACATATAAACCAGATGCAGTTGCCTGGTTCAAGGTGGCTCATATAGAACGTCAGAAATCAGAACCTATCGATGAAGAGGACGAAGAAGATATATGGAATGGCGTGGGTTGTGTCGACAGCTCCTTTACTCAGATTGCCCAATCTGGAGGCAGTACCAGCTCTCTCCCTGGTGTAAAAGACAGCAATTGGCCATATTATCTAGGCGTCGAGGAAGCCCCCCAACCTACATCTAATCTCTTGTCTCCTATGGTTCAGCAACAGGCAAGATTTACCTCGCCTCTTAGGCGACGGCTAAGGGAACTTATGGCAGCTGCTACGAGTAAGCGAGCTGTTCATCTTAAGATGCCTCCTATAGCTATTCTTCTCGTATCGACCCAGCGCAACATTGGCAAGGCAACTGTGGCTACTGGTGCTTGTGCAGACATTGGTCTACACACATTCACCATCGACGCCTACGACATCGTCAACGACAGCGGAGCCGGGGGTAGCGATGTCAAAACGGAAGGACTTCTAAAAGCTCGGGCGGATCGTGCCATGACTTGCGGTCCCGAATTTTGCGCTCTCCTTATTCGACATATCGAAGCACTCACGGCGGACAGAATGGTCAGTGCGATGAAGGAAGTACTCAACGACTCTAGAGTCCTAATTGCGACGACTACCGAAGTTGACAAAGTGCCGGATGGCATCAGAGGACTCTTCACCCATGAACTCGAGATGAGCGCTCCAGATGAGGGTGAACGTGAGGGCATTCTACGGTCTATTATCCAAAATCGGGGGGTATCTTTAGCACCCGAGGTTGAGCTGAGTGGTGTTGCTGTCAAAACCGCAGCCCTTGTCGCCGGAGACCTGGTTGACGTGGTTGAACGTGCGATAGTTGCGCGTGACTCGCGTCTCGAAGTATTATCAGCGAAAGCTTCAAACGAAAATTCAATCGTCACCGTTCGTGATATACAAGTCTCAGGTGGTTCATCCGCGAGGTGTCTGACTAAGGCTGACTTCGATATTGCCGTGGATGCAGCACGAAAGAATTTCGCCGATGCCATTGGTGCTCCGAAGATTCCTAACGTTACTTGGGACGATGTTGGAGGTCTCAACAATGTTAAGGATGCAGTCATGGAGACTATTCAACTGCCCTTGGAAAGACCAGAGTTATTCGCTAAGGGAATGAAAAAGCGATCCGGTATATTGTTCTACGGCCCTCCTGGTACCGGCAAGACCTTGCTTGCAAAAGCAATTGCTACGGAGTACAGTTTGAACTTTTTCAGTGTCAAAGGTCCTGAGTTGCTTAACATGTATATCGGAGAATCCGAAGCAAATGTTCGCCGAGTATTCCAACGAGCCAGAGATGCGAGGCCCTGTGTCGTCTTCTTCGATGAACTTGATTCAGTCGCTCCTAAGCGAGGAAACCAGGGCGACAGCGGAGGTGTTATGGACCGTATCGTGTCTCAGCTGCTGGCTGAGCTAGACGGTATGTCTGGGGGAGACGACGGAGGTGGTGGTGTGTTTGTCATTGGCGCTACAAATCGGCCGGATCTGCTTGATCAGGCGTTGCTTCGTCCTGGTCGATTCGATAAGATGCTCTACCTTGGCGTTTCCGATACGCACGAGAAGCAACTCAAGATCATGGAAGCCTTGACAAGAAAGTATGTCTTCAATCTAAGTTTTCCTTCTCCCACTAGTCATATACTAATATCCATAACAGATTCACTCTCCACCCGTCTGTCTCGTTATCCGCTGTCGCCGAACATTTACCCTTCACCTACACAGGTGCCGACTTCTACGCTCTATGCAGCGACGCCATGCTCAAGGCTGTTACGCGGCAGGCAACGCTTGTAGACACTAAGATCCGCGCCATCAATGCGGAACGAGAGAAGGAAGGACATGCACCCATCTCTACAGCTAATTTCTTCGACCATCACGCCACCCCCGAAGACGTTGCCGTCATGGTCACGGAACCGGATTTCCTCGATGCAAACAGGGAGCTAATCCCTAGTGTCAGCGCTGGCGAGCTCGCCCATTACGAAAGAGTCAAGGCCACGTTTGAAAACCAGGATAGTAAGCAGCAGCAACCCCACCAACAGCAGCAGCAACAGAGCGATGAAACACCTCCTTTGGTATTCGACGGCGGTGGTGGCAGTGGATCTGGATCCAGGTCCGTCTCGGGCAGCAAGGGTAAAGGCAAATCAGTGGCAATAGATAATAAGAGTAAGGGAAAAGGAAAAGCGATCGCCACCAGCGACGAGGAGAGCGACAACGGCGAACCATATGGGAGCTACGGTGGAAGCGTCAATGGAAAGTCCAAGGGGAAGGGCAAGGCGATCGCTAGATTCACGGACGGGACTGCGAGTGATGATGATGGGTTATATTAAATTATTGAACTGATCTGAACTGACATGAGTCTAACTGACATGAGTCTGCTCGACCACAAATACGAAAAATATGAAAAAATGGTAAAAGGGGTAGGAATCTTAACGTTCTTAACCCTAGTACCAAGGAGCAACCGATAAATAAGGTATATTAGGGAGAAGTGATTAATTAGATAGTATCTACTATTAATCTGGAGAGGAGCCTCCTCAGCAGCATTGTACCTAGAAGTATGGGCGGTACTGAGATCTTTTCCTGAGGAGAGTTGTGAATAATCAAGTTTTTTTCTCTGCTTCTTTCTCTTCTCTTCCCACTTTTCGCAAATTTGGTATCTAAAAACACCCCGGGTTGCAACAATCGCGCCTGTTTATTAATAAAACGCAATAGTAAAATTGGGACGTCAAACTTCTTACTGCTTCTTGGCCTTGCTCTTCTCGTCCTGCTGGGCCTGTTCTTCCTCATCAGACTCGTCGTCTTCTTCATCATCATCATCGTCATCATCATCCTCGTCGTCGTCATCGTCGTCTTCCTCCTCCGACTCTTCCTTCTTAGCTTCCTTCTTCACCTCCTTTTTAACCTCCTTCGTGACCACCTTCTTCTCATCTTCGGACTCCTCCTCATCCTCCTCCTCTTCAGACGAATCCTCTTCCTCCGAGCTGTCCTCCTCCTCCGAGCTCGTCGCCTCGGGGATAGCCTCCGCCTTCTCGACGGCCGCTATCTCCGCCTTGGACGCGTTCTCGACGACGGCACCCTGGAACTCCTCCGACTTCTCGCCGTCCGCCTTCCAGGTGCCCGTCGTCGGGCTCTGGAGCACCTGCCGCAGGTTCTCCTCGGGCTGCACCCCGCCCTTCCACGTCCCCGTCGTGGGCGACTGCAGACCCGCCGCGCCCTTCGCCTTCTCCTTGTCCTTGTCCTTGTCCTTGTCCTTGAGCGACAGGTTGCTCATGCTCTCCCGCGCCGACTCGGTCGTAGACGACTTGGATAGGGATTCCTTAGACCCCGTGTCCGACCCGCTGCCGTCCTTCTTCCCGTATACCTTGGCCCGCAGGCTGTCGAGGTGCACCTGCTTCGCCTTCTTAGCCGCCTCTTCAGCGATGCTAAGGGTGGGCTTGGCGGCGCTGCCGGGGGCGGGCGCGGACGAGAGCTTAGACTTCTGCGCCGTGAGCTCGGAGGCTTTGGGCATGGCCGGGGCGGCGGGCGGCTGCTTGGCGGATGTGCTTGATGCTGCTCCTGCTCCGCCGGCGGCGGGTGGTGCTGCGGGGGGCGCGGCCGGCTTCTTCGCTTTCGGGACGATGGGGGGCGGCGCTTGGCTCTTGGTCGGGATGGTGAAGTCGTCGTAGTAGATGGTGACGTGCTGCTTCAGCTCGCCGTACTCGTTCCACTCTTCGATCTCGACTAGATCCTACGAATTTTCATCCTTAGTTATTTGTGTACCCCCAAGGTTTGCATTATGTATTATGCATTGCGGGATGTATGACGAATGCTAGAAAGCTGTAGACAGATAGGTAGGGGAGTAGACTTACGCCAAGGACCAACCCCATCTGCACCAGGCCGGGTAGCTTGCGTACCCGTCCGCCCTCATCCTTGCCTGCCCTTCGACCCCATAGCATACGCGCTTTCTCGTCTGTAGCGATGTCTATGGCTTTGAACGGCACTCTATTAGCCCGTAGGATAGTCTCTAGTCGCGAGGTCGCCGTGACGATGTGCGAGGATCCGGCCGTGAGAGAGGTGTACAGGTAGAGGGCGGGGTCGGTCGAGTACGAAGTGCCCTTAGTGTCCGCCATCGCTGCCGCTTTACTTGAGAGGAGGGGGTCAAATTCGGAGGATTTGCAAGGTTAGGAGAGGGAAAAGGAGTAAGGTCGTAAAGTCGTAAAAAGGAGAAATAGGAGAAATTAGGTTTATCGATATTCGAAGAATGGAAATCGGTTCCCGAGGTGGGCTCGAGGTCTTGGTCGGAAGAATGCAAGAGCGACTTTCCCCTGGCAACCCAGATAACGATAGGTACCTAATCGATATGAATCGATAGGGCGCCGACCGGATGGCACGAGACTAAACTTTTTTATACCCTTTGGCGCGAGATCTGGAATCTGATTGGATGCCTGAGCTTCAATATGACTTCATAACTTCAATTGAATAAGGTTGATATTATGTAAGGTACATAAAACCTTCTTTCAAACTTGTACATCACGATATTCAACTAAACAGCATCCTTTGCCTGTCTTACCCCTGACTCGAATTAGATAACTCATTGTGAACACAGCACGATAAGTAAATGGGTTCTAGTAGTTCCAGATGCATTAGTCATAGTTAACTGATATTTTAGGCAGCGCCTCCAGTTAAAACACTCAGGAAGCACGTTATGTAAAGTCTGAAAGGTGACGTACGAAGATGTGTATGGCTACAAAGACACGCAATCGTTTGGGTTTGTTCGCAGAATTACTCTAGGTTATTGTCTGGCTTGATGCCCCTTTTCTAGACACGAACTTATGAGCTTTTGGCTGGGTCACAGGGTGAAAGGTGGCAAGAGGCTTGTTGGTAGAGGTATGCTTGGATGAACGTCGACGCCCGAGCCCATCTAAGACTCCTGAAGGCCTTCGGACCCCTTATATACCTGTAAGATACCTACCTAGGTATACAGCCGGATGTACAGTGGAGAGTCCCTAGATGATCTCCACTAATATCCCCCAGCGCCAATTCGCAACAAGTCTGCCCCTTCTGCCTCCTAGGGCGAAAAGGCTCATATGGTTGAGGCTACGCGGGAACAGAATGTCTATCAAGACTGAAACACGTCTATAAATTTCCGTTAAGAGCTATTAACAACCGCTTGCAATATGAACAAACTGTGAGCATCCAAGCAATCATAACAGGGTGCCATCTGAATACATGATTCCCGATACTTAATTTTGGTATGTTAACTTATTTTACAGCTACTGTGCTTTTATATATATCAAGAAATAGAGTTACAATCACTCAATAAAGATGAATTCCTCTTGTTTTGACTAATATAGTCTTCATGAGGAGAACAGGAAGGGAGGATGAAATCATAGGTAGTTTACGTTTAAAAAAACATCACAAAGCTGCCATTAGGCACAGGAAATAACAAATTCTTAGTTTATCTGTATCTGTATTGTCAGTTCTTGCACACTATTGGTACACTTAGATAGGTAAGTAGTTACGACATCTTGTCATAGAATAGGAGGTCTTGTCTCCAGGGGCTTAATCGCGTAAATTATCTAAGTAAGCGGTCTTGTAGCTGAGTAATGCTAGGGACATAGATTTCTCGATTTCCAATATGTACCTAAATAAGAGCGCTCTCTAGACCTCAATTATCAAACAAATATGATAGGCTACAGGCTCTTGGCTGGCTTCCTGTTCCTCGCCATGGCAATGGAGACTGATTTGGATCTAAAGCAGAAAGTAATACAACGGACAATCCTTTTTCTTATCTTACATCCAACTCGCTCTCCTTGGTCACAAAGAACCACAGGTTTTGAACGAGGAAAATCACGGGATGATCGTGGCTGCTGGTATCTTGTACCCTCTCGTCGCTCGCTCTTCGCCTCCATAGCTTACTACCCCGAGGCGGCCTGATGACGAATCTTCTACTATCAATTATCAACTTCCAAGGCAAGTTCGGTTTCACAAATCACGGGGCCGATTTCGTATTTTACGATGGAATCGGGATATGAGCCAAAACTTACCTCCCAATGGCTCGGTATCGAATATCATACGTTTATGACGAGGCTCCAAAGCATTTCTAGCCCCCTATATTCCGAGAAGGTGGCTCTACCTGCCTTAAGTAAACTTGTTGGTCTAGAAAACATATATTCTGCATATCTCACTCATCCTAAAGGGGCTAACTCGGTTTGTTTCGCGGGTCCGGTCGTGACGGCTGATCCGTTGTAAAATATGGGATGGCAATACTGGTCAAATTTGTCAAGTATATGAGATGATTTAAGACTAGATGTAGTTCTTGGTATGCAGTTTACTGCATAACCGACAGGTTGTTGGGTTTGTTATTTTTCCTGCAGCAAGGGATCCCTGTTCATTCTTCCCTTGGGGTTGCAATAAATCCAAATGACAGGGCATCCGAAGACCGAGCCGCGGTTTTGGGGTCGAGTAGACAGAACTATTGGTCATTGCACAAAGTTATATTCACAGCTCGACTCCCTGCTATGTGGGGAGTCATTCTGAACACCATCATGATGGGGGCTGCAAAGTCACTCGTTGAATATTTCACTCTGGAACAAATGTTAGATATCACGTATAGGAGCTGTGTCTGGTTCCGTATTACTTCCTATTATAATTATACCCTATTTGCGATGGGGGAGGTGTGAGTGAATCCTCCAAGATCCCCCGTCGATGAATATATCGCGATTGTAGATTTACTCTGGAATAAAAATCACGAAAATCTTCAAGTGCTATAATCAAACATTGGAAGAGTATATGGTGCTTTTGCCCCTTCTTTTTTGTGTTGTGTAATTTATGCCAAACCATCGAAAATTTTCACTAAGCCTTCCATTTCTCCTGGCCCACAAGAACTCTCCGAGGACTACCATCTAGCTATCATGGTGTAACTCAAAGTATAACAAGGCGAGATATACCGCAAATAGTAAATTTACCCCTGGGCTATAGAATCCGTCCGTCCGTGACGCTATTTGTTTTCTCCTAGAGCTATATTTGGCGAGCTAAAATCAAGTCCCGAGCAAACTTGAACGGTCCCGAAGCGGCGCTTGTCTGAAAGCATAAGCAGTACCATATACCCACAAGCGTCTTTCGCATTCTACACCCGAATCGAGCTAGTTGGAGTAGTTCCGCGACCAATCAACGGAGTCTTCTCATGATCCTTACTTACACCCCGTCTACGGCTCGATGATTCTTGGGATTCCTAGCATCCGATAGTGAAGGGAAGATCCGCCGTCCCGAGCACTCGGGTAGGACTTAATGTCGACGGGCATCACCGGGTCTACCTGGCTACTCCCTATGTATGTGACGAAGAACAGAAGAGGGTAACAATGGCACTATTCGGTATGAAGGGTCGTGTGTCCGCTAGCCAGCGTATGGGAGGCAGGGACACGACAGCTTCCTGCATGTGTCAGATAATACATGCATGATATGCATATCTTTACTACCAAATTCAGCTGGCTTCGCTTGGGTGGTTCGAGTGGCTGAGAAGACGGTTCCAGAGGCGTGATTATTCACTGGTATGAGAAGTAGGATGGTCTAGGGCATCCGTTATAACGAGCAAATATGAAGAAGCCAGTATGAAATCTACCAATCCCCTTCAAGAAGGCGGGTTATCCAGGGACGCTGACTGTGGGGGGGATACCCTGGCTAAAGGTGTATCGAAGGAACCGCCCAGCCGGCCACTAGGATATCAAAATTCTTTGATGACGGACTGCAATTATCAACAGTGTTGTCACCCCTACTTGATGACCGTCATGATGAGATATATTTCGCTGACCAAGGGTCATATTTCCAAGTCGGTACTTCGTGCCGGCACTGCGCCGGATTTGTACTCCCATAGCGCACTGCAGATCCGAGTTTTCGGGTCTAGAACAGCGTGAGATGAATGATTCCGGCCACCTCATGCTTGCCGATACCGCGGGGTTTCCCTCGACCATCGACTTCCTCGTTCTTCTACGTATTTGGCACACGGAGAGCCGAAGCTGACTTCGAGGGGGGAGAGAGGAGATAGCTGAGTTTACTATTAGCCTCGATATTGAAATCGCAAACTACATATAAATTTTGAAACATAAGGACTTTCGATGATGATCGGGGAGTTCGATGAAGAAATCGCCGCTTGGACATTATCACACCCATGGCCATGATTCCTTGTAACCATGATTGCGACATTTGGTATGGTGTAAAGTGGAACGATGTCGTTGACCCAGCAAGGACTGAAATTTGGTCGAGACAGCTCCTCGGATAAGGGAGAGTCTGACCTCCAAAGAAAGAAACCCTGTAACTGTTGGACGCCGAAGAAGACCTTAGCGTTAGTCAAACATTTGGACGGGCTGGTAGGTTGATCTGCTGGATATAAAAGGGCTGTGGAAATCTGCTTCGAGGAACTATCATAGCAAGTTATTTCCGCCAGACTACCTTCGTCTACACATCTCTACGTGCGTAAGACTTACACATACGCACATGGTGCACAAGATTTATAAAACACCACAGGAAAATATAAGGGTTTGATTCTCGTTAGTGTCTCCTCCCCTAGATATTCCCAACATGACAGCTCATATGCTAAACATCGGACAAGGTGCTTACCAAGTAGATAAATCATAAGAGAAGGCTACCGTGAATAAAACCAAACTCACTCGGTATTGATACCCGGACAATTCTATTGGACGATACACCATCGCTAACATGATCTCCAAGCGCAAGTCTCATGGATCATAAAGAGCTAGTCGACTTCGCCTTTGCAGGAAAGCTGTGCGCCCATGAAAGATGCAACGAACTTGCCCTAGAACGCGAGGATCTATGTCGAAGTTGTTACAACAACAAGTGTCATGAGGTTCATGATTAGTTGAAATTTGGTAGAGAATCTTGGGTGGGGGAAGGGGGCATCTAGTCCCGGAGAGATCTAATATGTGGCTTTTTAGCTGGTCGTGTTAGGAAGCAATATACACACATTACTATACAGCCACATGCAAGGGAGTTAATGGTTGGATCCAGTGTGTACCTATCCAGATGTCTTCATTTTCCTAACAATCTACCGACTATCTATGCCGACACATGTCCTGGTCTCTTAAAGCAGATGGTCTCTACCAAGCATGATATACCTACGAATTCGGCACAGGAAGATGTCCACGTCATCCGCACTACCTCTATCAACCGTATGCCAAAGCCTTCAACCTCGTGGCTGAACAGGGATCTCGGTTTCATTTGTGGAGATCACCGTAGGGGCCGGGCTTCCGGCAGCCTTTTGGGTAATCCGGAGATGTGGAGGACAATCGTAGCACCTGTAGTCAGACGAGCCTCGGAGTTTCTTCATTGGCGTGTATACAATTGCTGTTACATCTCCCGAGGCTAATGACCATATTCGAGTACGTTTCAATATGTCGATCGGAGTGACTGCGGCCGTTCAGCTAAGCAATGGCATCAGTTAACCCTTTGAAACATTAGCTTTTGTTATTCCGAATAGGTATATGCAATAACTACTTACGTACATATGTATATACCACACCAATCAAGATTACTATCATACTACCCGACCTGTGCGACCTTAATACGCACCTAGCCTCATCAACTCGTCGTTATATCACGTAATAACTTTAGAAGATAAGTAATGTACTAGAACAATCACATGACAAGACGCAAGCAAAATGAATGGAAAATATGTGTCATTAGCCATGCCGACCTCATATAATCGACACGACGCCCCTGCTCAAGTATAGACATGAACCTTCCAACTCCTCCGCATGCCTCTGAACACCGAGAACACTTCGTCCTGACTTAAGACATAGAGAAAAAGGAGCTGACGTGCCCACAGGATATGCCGGTCGATTAAACCAGCCTCCCTCAAAACCGAATTGCCACCTTTCAAATAAACCCCAAGCTTCCTTCCCCGGAGAATCAATAATGTGATTAGAATCGTAGCGAATTAAGTCCTTAGCCATCCTCCATCCCCGAACCCCGCGCACTATAAACCTGTAGCTTATGCGAAGAAAGCAGCGCCCATGGCCAGAACACCCATCAGGAGGCCGGACTGGACGGAGACGATACCGGCTCCGCTGGCCGGGACGGCAGGAGCGGAGGTGGACGCCGGGTAAGTCGGAGCAGCAGGAGCGGTTGTGGGGATCAGAGAGGTCTGGGTAGCGTACGTGGTAGGAACGACGTAGCTGGAAGAGACGTTGGGGTAGGCGGTCGGGCCAGCAGAAACAGTGGAGTTCTTGGAGATCGGGTACCAGGTGGAAGGCACGTTGACGCTGCTGGTGGTGTTAAGCGCGACAGAGCTCGTGGGGTACGCGGGAGGCGTCGAGATGGAAGACGAGGTCGACGGGATCGCGCTGGAGGAGCTGGAGTACAGAGGGCAAGCGGTGTTGGTAGGGTTGCACTTGGTGATGGTGACCGTTGCCGTCAGGTACGAGGTGGCGGTGGTGGTTCCGGCGGAGGAAGTCACCGACTCGACGGGGTAGGACTGCGCGACGGCGGAGGCGGCGCCGGCGGCCAACATGATCAGAGATGAAACATGCATCTTGAAAATATGGTTTGCGGTCGTTGATGTTGATCGAAAAATGGGGTATCACGAATCTAGATTTCTCCTCCTCAGGATCGTCAAAAGCGGGCGGTATCCAAGTTGACTCGCGTTGGGGAATGTGATTATCACTTAGTGATGATCTTTATATTCTTTTCGTTTCCCGTTTGAAGGTCCGGCTGGATTTGTTTATTTAGAAAGAGAGTGACGGTTAACCGCGTAAACAATGGGTATTTATTATGTGAACCTGAAAGGTAAAAAATGAGCGTGGGTTGCAAAATGCAAATATTGTTCACGGTTGGGAAAGTAGAACGAGTGACTGGCCCTGGAGCTGACGGTCGTTAAAAGGGGAGGGTAAAAGGGAAAATTGGCGGTGGAGAGGGGGACGACGGCGATGTGCCCTTTTTTATTGGGACATGGAGAATATTTTTTCTTTGCAGGCCATTCCTACCAATGGTATCGCGAGGATGGACAGGCTAGGTCAAATGAAGGCATACAACCAGCACATACGCCTCGACGGTGCTTAAGATTAATGTGGATCGGCAAACGTCTACCGGGAAGAGACAAGGGTCATTCGGAACTGTCCCCTGCTCATGATAGGCTTTTGACCGCGCTCATTGCGACTAATTGCGACTACTGAGGTAGTAATTGCGACAACAATCACTGAAAGGAGTAGGGTTTCACTTTTGAATCCCTGTGTCTGTGGCCTGGACCTATGGTTCAGTGAGTCCTATGCTTGCATCGCGGTATCGTCTACCAGTCTATTTTGTACCTGTCTACCAGTTACTCAGGTTCAACAGCTTCATCGTCGAGTTGCCAGTTGAAAGATTTCGTGAAAAACTCTTCATGCTATTGTGTTATACAAAGCTATCTTACTGGTAGACAAAGAGATGAGGATCCATCACGACAACTAAGACAGCATTGAACTGAGCAGGCTGCGTGTTCCTACAGTAGCGCATATGTCTACTTACAGCTGGAGCGCTTACAGCGTTGTTGTTCCTGCAGAAAAGAGCGGAGACAAAGCATTGCGGCCCGTTTGTGATTGGAGCCCCGTCAGAAACTAAACAAGGGTAAAGATTTAGCGTTACTGTCCGAGCTCCTCTTTAGAGCATCCGATCAGCTACGCTAGCCTTAGTAGGGCTGCCAAGGATGAGTTAAACCCAATTGAACCCTGCCTCAACCAATCATACGTAATGCGCATCGGTGGTCGATTAGGAAAAGGAAAGAAAAAAGGAATTATCGCTCAATGTACGTACCCGGGTACCCCAATGGTCTCACGCCAAGTCCGTGCTATCTCCCAGCCATTGAAAATTGTCCCTTTTACAACATCACCATGTTTGCCCCCATCCAGCATCCGAAAAACATCCCAATGTCGAAACGACAGCCCTGAAACCCACAAACATCAGTGACCGATGAATTCAAAACACATATCATCCCATATTCACCGTCTGATTGAGAAAATGCCTATTTTTATGCGAGTTTCCATGGTTACTAGGATAGCTACCTAGCTAATCAGCGCAATTCGCCCATTGGACTGCATTAATCGATGTCGTTTCCCTTCATTTCCCGAAATTGCGAGCATGGTTGCGCATGCTGCGCATGGTATGGTTTCGCCTTGCGCCATACTACTTCGATTACCTAACAAGGTCTTCGACTAGAGATTTACATACACTATGATCAGACTACGGAGTAAATCGAACCAAGATGTTAAGGATATTCTACATAGTTTCCAAGTTCTGCAGTATTTTCGCAAATCCGATTCACCATCTCGATCAGACAATCAGGAAGTTTGGCATCTAGACGGGCTAGTCATCCTAGAGTCCGATTAAAGAAATTTTGACCCATCTCACGTCTCCACCAGAATCAAACGCGCCCTAGATCGCCAATATAACAACTGAAATGAGCCTTCTCCACTGGGGCCTCGCCATCCCGAGATGAAAGGAGAGTACCAAACTTTCTAATCGACCATGCCATGCTACAGAGGGTCAGTGCAGCTGAACCTTCGCTTCGCAGCGTATCGTATTCCATCACTCGCAGGGAATTGGAAAATTCTAGACTTCGAAAGCTGAATGCTCCGAACGCCATGCGCAATCGTGGTGAACCCGTGGTCCATGTCGTGACACGTGAGAATTCCGACTTCGTGTTGCTTCGTCGTGCAGCTCGTGTTCCCTCATGACTAATATCACCGAGACGATTTGGCTACATGCACTAATTACATATAATCCCATGGGCCCATACGAGCACGGCCACCCCGCGGTGCATTATATGCTCGTCTAGGAGGAGGTCGGCGTTGACCCATGTCGTCGTCGATATTGTCATCGTAGAACCCTTCCCATCCCGGGTACGGTGGAGGAGCGTTCTGTCGACCATTCCAAGGGTCAGAGGGATACTGGCCTGACCATGCCGGAGATGCGGGAGGGTACGTGTAGAAGTGGTTATGGTTCTCGTGATGTCTCTCGGGGCGGCCAGCATGCGGATGTCCGTCACCGAGGAACTCATTCATATACTCCCGAAATGCCTTCTTAAGATCCCGGTCTTGATGTTGTCGCTTCTCAGACTCGTATTGGTCTTCGGGTGGCGTCCGTCGTCTACGGCGTGTGTTACTGTCGGTTTTACTGCTAGTACTGCTGCCGCTTGACTGCGTCCGGGTACTGCTCCTCGAGGACTTCGGTTCCGCGTCTCGTTCGGTCTGCTGGAACCACTGAAAATATTCCCAGGCTTCCTGCATGCTTTGCCGTTTGCGACGTGCCTCTTCTCGCTTTTTCGCTTCATCCTCTAACAAGCTTCGAACTTGACGAATCTCGGCAACGCACCCATCCTGCTTCGCCACGTATTCGCCATGGTTTTTCTGAATCGTATCATAAGCTTCCTTGAGGGTGTTATGCGCATCTCCAACCGCTGCGTAGGTGTCGTTGATGGCGACGTGGGTGCCTCTAATCGCGTTCTGTGTATGCTTAACAGAGTCCCGGGCCTCCGCGAATCCATCGGAGACGTAAACCTTCACCTCGTCTAGCTTGCTTCCGTTCTGCTTTGCCGTCCCAAGAGTTTCTTTGAGTGTATCCCCATGAGAAGCCCATTGCGCTTGGGCTTTCGCCATGTAGCTGGGCTCATACTCCTCAAAGCGTTGCCCCGAGCCATACGGGACGTATACCCCGTGCGGATGGTTCATTGGGAACATGCGTGCAATATCTTGAATACTACCGCTACTGAGCGTACTATTCGTAGGTGTCGACTTTTTGACCTTCTTGCTTTTCTTGGACTTGGGGGCTGGATAATAAAAACACATCACTGATAAACAAGGAGATGCGTTCGGAGTAGTTCGATTTCTTGAGAGGTATGTCAACCCCTTTTTATATACTTGAAGTTTTGCGTCTATAGAGTATGTACTGGCGTGTTGATCGCTCATAGTAAAACAATCTATTCTACCTATTTCTGTTATTTGCTTAGATGAGAAACACATAAGACATTTACCACCGCCATTTGCAGGCCGGCCATTGTTCGACGCAAAATCCCGATGCGTACATGAGCATGATTCTTTGAGATGTCTATGCAAGTCTCGCACTCCAGCTACCAGTTTCCAAAGGGGCGGGAGGTCTCTGTTCGCCGCGCAAACGGTAGATTCGCTACGGGTCGGTGGACGTCATACCGCAACTGTCTACCACCTTGCCAGTTCTGGCTATGGCTCTCCTATAATGGACTAAGACAAGGCTCTAGTACAGATAGACCGCGCTCACCGTCCTTTCCTTTGCAACTTCCACGAGTCAAACGGAGTTCATGACTACGTTGCCTTTGTTAAAATAGAATTTGAACCGGCGGCGTCCATTACAGACATAATCGAAACAAATGCCAATCGCCTTCGGTCCACTCTCTTGATCGGAAACTCAAGCTCTGCTGTACGGGAAGCCCGAGACGCGTCTTGCAGGTTTTACGTGCCTACCTCTAGGTATGTAGTGTCTTGACGGAGTCCTAAGAAGCACATAGTAAGTACGTAGTAGCAGCGAGAAGAATCTTGTTAGCAATGGAAAGTCCTTGACCATCGAAATAGACCCAATACGATTCGCTTCAACTGGCCTCTCACATTTTATCATAATAAAACTACGACATCCCGATAAAGAGCTTCAAAATTCTACGAAAACTCGGCAGGTAAAAGAACCAGTAATTTCACTCGCCAAAAGAAATAGCCACACGAAGTTATAAATGTAATATAGGTAGTTATCATTTGTTTATGTCCATGACCTCTTTCCTAACTCGTCTCGCGTCCGGAGCCCGAAATCGCAGCCCCGGCGCAGTAGTAGCAGAAGGAAGAAATACCGAAAATATGTACAAGCGTAAGAATCGAATCGAATCGAAGAAAAAATCAAAACCTGCTAGTGCCGCCTACCCGCCTCCCTTTCCTTTGCATTGCTCTCTGCCCTTACTATCCATCCGACAGAAACGCCGCCACCCCCACTCCCCCTAACAAGATAAGCATGCCTTCCGCTCAAAACCCCCTCTTGTTTCGTTTTGAGGATAAGATGGCGACAGATGCAAAGTAAAAAGCGGAGAAGGAGAATTGCTAGAGATGGCCTCTGGGTATGAACTCTTTCTTCCTTTCCTTCCCTCCCCGACGCCTGCAAAACCTAAGCCTCCACAGAAGAGAGATATACGCCTAGAAGATCGGACCCGCGTCCCCTTGGGTATCATATACATCGGGTGACTTTGACTACATTTACGCGTGGAATCGTCGTCTCGTCGTCGCGGTGCCGTTAGTAGCGTCCGAGTAGACCTTGACGGAGTTGATGAGCCAGTAGGAGTCCTTGAAGGCGGTCGGGTTCGCGGCGACGTAGTCCTGGCAGGTGGCTGCCTTGGTGCTGCAGATGGGGTCGTAGGGCCAGACCTTGCCGGCCCAGTCACCGCAGAAGGTGGTGTCGAAGACGATCTGGTTGTCCGTGAAGTGGCTCGGGATGTCGCAACCGCTGCCGGAGAACGAAGTCTGTGGTGAGCCCCACGTGCTCGGGTCCGGCGAGCCCGCTGCGATGTCTTGGGGAATGGAACCCGTGCGCGGGAAGAAGAAGATGTTGATGGCCGAAGACGTCCACTCTAGCGCGAAGATTCCTCCACCGATCGCGTTGAAGCCGTCAGCGAGGGTCTGCACATCGTTGCTCAACGTTGGACAGCCGTTAGAGCCCGTGCCCGGGGCGTTGCAGTCACCCTGCGAGAACGTGCAGTCGGCGCTAGTGTGGAGAGTGTAAGTGGTGTTCGTGGCCATGTTCACTCCCTCAATGATGTCGATCTCACCACCCGCCGGCCAGTTGGGACCCACGGTCCAGAAGGCAGGCCACTGCGGAAATTCAAGTTAGCAATCGATTCACTTTCATTCTTGGATCGAGGATGAAAAGGGGAGTAAGGGTGAGTGGAAAGGGGAAAATACGAAAATTACTTACACTTCCGCACACAGCAGCCGGCTGGTGGGCAATGTCGGCGATGATGAGGCCCTGGCTGTAAGTCTTCTTGGAGCTTATTCGGACAGATGAGCGGCCGTTGGGAGGGTTGGTGGTGTTAGCATCAACGCCTAGGTAGATGCCGCCGTTGGCGTAGCCGGCGAGCGACAGGGCGTTGGCCTCAGACGCCGATACGTAGTTGACGAAACCGTTGGTCGGGTCAGGCTCGTTGAAGAAGTCGAAGCCATCGAAGAAGTTAGTCGTGTCGTAAGAATCCTGAATCGTGTAGGCAGCCTGTGCCGCGGCTCCGAGGGCCAATGCGCCACCGATAATCTTCGTGAACGACATGTTGACTCGGAGTGGTATGTGTTTGAAAATGGTATGTACAGGAAATAAATGTGAAGAAACCAAAGGGTTGGTATATTCTCGCGCCTGGCAAGTTTACGATGCTCTATGATATGATGCTGAAAATGAAGGTCGAAAAGGAATGTGATAAGTCGAGGTCAAAAATGAGTGGTGAACCTCGGGTAGGTAAGTGAAGTGATGGCCCTCTTTGAAATTTAAATAAATGACAATAGGTTGTTCAAGTCTTAAAAGGAGTGGTTCTGGACTTGAATGACTACTTGTGGTCGAACAATAGCAAAGCTAGAAGAGTTCGTTGTTTGTCATGTGTCGAAATAGAACAATTGGTGACGCAAACAAAGGAGTGCGTGATCTGGTCGTGGCTTGTGTGTATACGGTGTGGGTAAGGAGAGACTCAGATGGTTTTGAAGAAAATGTTTTTTCTTTTTCTCTTTTCTTAGAGTCGCATAAGGAACGACGACTTGACTTTTAAAGATGAGTATGAGAATGAGAAACCGGAGGGTTAGGTGGAGGTTAGAAAGGATGGAATTCACCTTGAGGTGGTTGTGGTTAAATCTCAGGCTGTGCTAACCGGAGCAGCAGCCGCCGAATTTAATAGATGCGGGAGTTCCAAAGGAAGGTTGAAAAGAATAGCAGGATCTCACTAGATGCTTCCTCGCTTGACATAGATTAAGATAAATTAGGAAGGCGCATTCAGGATCGCATATTTCTTCACCGGGGAGTTTTGGGGTGGGAGAGGTCGTGATATGTCACGTTAACCCTAATTCGTGTAAGTGGTTAGGAAAGGTGTAAGATGGTTCAGATATCCTTGAACACAGTCATATTAAGTTTAACTAATTGGGCAGATTTCCATATTCAGCAGTGGACAGTAGTAGACGACTGCGTAAGACATGCGCTTATTGTGCCAGTCAACGTGAAATACAAACATTTCGACACCTCCCAGTCCACTTGAACATGTGAGTGGTAGCAAGGTATGGCTAACATCTTCAAGGAGTTAAGGAGAAAGAAGCGTGGGATAAAACTATGGTTACGTTGGTTGGACGATATGCCGCCAGTGTTGCTGCATCAAAGCGCAGTCTACCCGATAAAGGGGGATCAAGCTGGGGTGAGACATCGAAACTGCCTATGAAGAATGTAAGTTGAAGTCTGCCAGGTAGGTCTGTGAATGTGGTCGGTTTCCATGATACACGAAAGAGAAGAACTCTTAGCCAATCGATGGAACGTAGTTGATCAAGACTGGGAATTCTGGCCGCCACAATCTTGGCAACGTCCAGCCCCTTTTGACCCGCACCTAGCACCCCCACCACGCACCAGAACGTACTGTGCTCTCCACTATAAGTACCGCACGTAGCAAGCGCTGAGGAACGTTACCTCGTCATCTGGTACAGTGACCTAGTAGCGTGACGGATGACGAAGCATACGCGCCACAACCGATGATTGGGCGCCGGCCCGCTTCTGAAACGGCAAGGCGAAACAAACTACAAGAAACGTCCTGCTTCCTTTGGACAATTCGTTGGATATCGTTATTTCGACCTGCTAGTCACTGCTACTTCGGCATCCTTCCGGGCCTCACCTCGAAGGATTCCCTAGATAAATTAAGCACCATCATGTATAAAATAACCAGGATCCCCGAGTTCGGCTCGGAGTCACACGTTATTCATGCTCAAGTCCCATGAAGTCGAAGCGGACCGAATACATGGTCTTTGGTATCTTGGTTCTATAACTGGAACTCGATTAGATTCCACTACCGAGATGAGCTTAAAGTTATGGACTAGAGCTATGAGGATTGTATGCAATCCCCGTATCTCCATGCGTCTGCGCCGCTGATCTAATCAATTTAGGTCTCGCTTTCGCATATCCCCGTTCGCCTATGACCTATATATAGGTCATTGATTAAATAGGTAATTAGCTCACCTACCTACATACATACATACTATGGAAGTGGTATGTTCAATTCCCGAAGGCCTTAAAGAGCCAAAATATTCTCACCAACTGGGACACTCGCCTGACGGAGTAAGCTGCCTTTGTGTTCTCTGATTGTTACATTCTGGTCCATTCTCCTCAGGGGAAACCCATTCGTGCGAGGTAATGTGATTAATCGTCGAGTGGCAGTTACATCCCCCTTCGCCCTTGTTTAATGCCTGCCTCCTAGGGTTATGGACAAAGGTACTTGTCACATGAATTTTAGATCTGAGTTGCCTAATCTAGATATATGGGATGATCCCAGATGCCGATCACTGTATCACACACCCCGGCCTGAGCCTCATTCACAGCTATGTAGTTCCAGCTGATATTCCAGTGTATGAAACGGATAATCTTATGACCGTCGTGGGATACTAGTCACACTAATACAGCACAGGCTTAACTCATTTTTAAAAGTATGTCTTCTCATTGTCTTAAATACGCATTCATGGCGGTATCTCGTGAGACTATGGTATCGTCAAACTCATGTGCTACCTAGCAAAGATCCTCTAGGTCCTATTCTGGGACCCACTACATCCTTCCACGTTTCCCTCGGAATCTTAATAAGAGGAAGCAAGCTGAAATCGAAATTACTAGCAATGTCCTCCACGCCAACCATTCTAGTCCATGCTTATCCGCTCAGTCACGGAGACATCGATTAAATCGTCGGAAGAGGGGTACCCTGGCGCTTCATTGTGCTGACCACCGGTGTCGATGGCTCCTCTTTGGTAGACTACATATACTATAAGCCTGAGACTAAAGAGTTAGGTAGAATAATATTGCAACTTACGCAGATGCGAGGACTTTCATGAACTTCACAAACCCTTTTGTGAACTCCCCAGTCATACCGCTGACAGTCTTTACTGCAGTATCGAGCCATCTTACAACGCGAACAACGAAGAAGGTTAGGTTCATTGTCCCTACAACTGAGACAGGCCTTGCTACTCATCTCCGCTGTGGGAGCTTCATCTGCAGAGTGTCTGAAAATATAGTCAGCAACGTATTAATTGAAGTGGTGATGAACCAAAGGGGGATTGGTGATGTGACGCAATCATTATAGGCATAGTAGGAGATTGTAACTGACCCTAAGCCGCTATACCAGAACGGATCACCAAGACCCAAATCTGTCTTGCTGCTCTGCATTTCTGCAAAGTTCTTTGAACCTGTAATCCAAGGCGTGCCGTTGTTCTTGTACTCATTCAGTGCTGTGAACAGCTGAAGTTGCTGCTCCAGGGTGGGAAGCCAAGATCGGAGTACATGAAGAGATGTCAAATAATGACCCTCGATTCTGACGCCCAGTTCCATTGCGAGCATGGCAAAGATAATGGCCACACGCTCACGCTTGTGATGACTAGTAAGGGGCTGAAAGCCGGATGAGAAAATCTTGTCAAGCTGCTTGGAGAACATGCCGTTGTTCAGTATCCTGATCGTGTCCTCTTTCTTATGTTCATCCTTTTTTTCAAACAGAAGTTGACAACCACACATCGCTGATAGGTCCTTGGCAATCTCATAATCGTCGTCTGACTGCATGAGACCCGGACCCCAGACCCCCATCTCGGCGGTGCTACAGGTACGATAGTCTTACTATGTAAACTGGGTGGTATGATGGACCTTGATAACGAAGGCTATTGACGAGAGACGAGTGTGAGAAAATGAGTTAGATATTACTTGGTGAGTTTGAAAGTACTAGGTAGAGATTAGAGTGATCTTTTATAATATTAAATAAGGTATTGAAGGTTGAGTATATGTATATGTAAGTTTGATATCTTGGTACTTATGTAGGCAAGTACGTTAACTTTCATACATATAAAGATGAAATACTTGAATCACTGGGAAGGCGCAAAGTCTTAACAGTCTCTAAAGCACAAACTTCCAAAGCTCTTTCTGATTGAACATTATGGATACTAGGTTGAATGTTTGGCAGGAGCAGGCGCACCTAACCGCTTACCCACGCAGATTCCAATCAGATGAATTGTTCGATGTATAGAATGTGTTTATTAAGCAAGAAATGTGATATGCATACGTCATTAATCCGCCCCTATTCTACGCCAGCATTTGCTATCCGAATATATGTACTGTCTTTGGTATTAGCCCCTATTAGTGAATCAAGGTAACGGATATTCATACTTTAAAGCACACATGAGTCACCTACGAACATAATATTGCTGGAAAGCATAGAGCCGGAGATGATCAAGGAGAATTTAATCCTCTCACGGTATCAAGGTTGACATATCACACATATCAATACATGTGTTCATGAACTACCAAGCCCTTCTTTACTTCAGGTAGTCCCATTATACTCCTTCCATGTATGATCTGGGTAGGTGGGGAGCTGATGAAAGATACGATTGTATGGGTGAAGTCTGGGAGAGTCCTTTCAATTGGGATGCAAAATGGGTATATTGAGCGATGAGCAAAGTTGCTAATCGCACCACGAGTAACAGGGACAAGACGTCAGATTTCGTGGCCATGGACAAATAATCTAACATTCCCAGAGAGAAACATAAAGATGCAACCCGACAATCCAAACCAGGAACCTCGTCGAGATCAGGATATTGACGGGGCCGAAAGAGAGTTATCCTATACTGTAACACTCATAGTTAGCAATTGGTTCGTCATTGTACTCGAAGGTGAACTGGAGTGGGTAGTCCGAGGGTGCTGGGGCTTTGGCCGGTTTGAATAAAAATAAAGGAAAAGCATATACGTACACTTAACTTTCTGGCCAGTCAATTTAAACCAGATAACGGCAACGAGGTCCTCCTTGAATCGTTCCCAAGGATTGCGGTTCAGATAATAGCTGAGCTCACGGAAGTTGTACATCTCTCCCCAGCAATCACGACCCCACTCACAACCTGCCATGTTCACGACAAAGTCCCGGTCCTTCTCATTATAGTGGATGCGGGTGTCGTTTCCGTTATCAGAGCATGCTCCAGTAGGGAAGCTATTGATGAGTCGCTGCGGGAGGAAGGCTGTGTGGCTTCTGATCCACGGTTGGGTTGTGTAAAGTTGTTCGAGCGCATCTTGTTCCTTGTGTTCCCACTCCATATGCTTCTGTTCATAGGCTACTGGATCCCACCATATATCCAGTAAGCGATCGGTCCACTCGCTTCGTCTGATAAAGAAGGACCCAAGATTGAATCCCGAACAATCCTGAGATAGCATGAGGTTCACGGAATCGATATCTCCGTCACCCACTGCACTCGTTGACACCGGATCCAAGTAGTTGGCTTGAAGGGGGTGCGTTATGTTGAGAGGGTTAAACTCGTTTATGTCGCGATAGATGTGCTTCTCCAGATTGTTGAATAGGTGACGTTGAAGCGAATAGGAGGGTTCCATGACAAATGTGTTAAGGTCCAGCCACCAAATCCTGCAGCATGTTAGCATGTATTTTGTGGCACGTATGTAGGCGCTTGCTCACCATTCAGCTTTTGGATATTTCCTAAAACTGTTTCTGATGCTGTCCACCTTTTCCCAGCTTTCTCGCCACTCGTGCGCGTATCGCTTCTTGGTACTCATGTCGACGACTTCGAGATCGTAACCCCATCTTCCGACATACTTTCGTTTGTTTCTGACACTATCTCTTTCGATAGCCCACTCACGCGCTCCCTTCCATTCCATTACGCCGCCTCCGATGTTTGCGGCAAGTATAATAACAAACTTTTCCCCGCCTCCTAGCCAGCCCGTTCTTCTCCAATAATACCACAAGGCTGAGCGATGGTTAGCGAGCTAAACGATATAAGCCAGAGTTAAAACTCACGTGTGATGTAGAATAATATGTAACACGTGAGTAGTAATAGCGCTAGAAGCGCACGTATCTTCCCCTTTCTACCCATTCTCGCGATCATCGCTCTGACCCTTCCCAGCAGCGGGATCTTCCACCTGCCTCGTCCGAGCTTCTCTTTCTCCGCATATCTTTCGTCCGTCGCCACGTTGAAGGATGGTAAGCTGCTCGAGATGCGTCGCATATGTCGTGTAAAGAAGCCTTGATTTTGGGTAGAAAATGAAGGGTAACCGGTGACACCCTGGCTTTTTAGTCGTGCGGATTCCCACGTCACAGAACCGCCGTTGGGGCCTGAAAAGGACGATTTCGCTGGGCTGGATCGACCGCTGGAGTTGATGTTGAGGCCTGGAGAAGACCAGCCTCCTCCGGGTACGGGAGAGGGACTTCTACTTAAGGACATCGGGATGCTGGGAGTGCCTGCGGCGTGATCCGTATTAGTGAGATTCTACGATATTGTTTTCGATCAGAGGCGAAAATAGGTAAGCAGTCATGACACGTACCAGGAATAGGGCTTAAAGTTGGCTGCAAGTACTGGGCCTGGTGGCCCAGACGCAGAGGAGAAACGCGATTACCAGAGTCGCTGCCCGCGGACGATCGTCTTCGACGGTGGGCGATCGCAGGGCGGTCGCTAAAGGATGAAGAATTAACTTCGGTATTTGGATCGACGGGCGCCAGATTTGTTGTACCTTCTGTCACAGTCCTCAAGATAAGAGGCTGTCGACAGTCACAAGCGAAGACGGAATTGGGTGACAGAAGACCAAGGTGGCTGCAGCCACTTTTTCAGGGATTCAGAGGTAGTCAAGGTAACAAAGGTGAATGTCTCAGGGGTGACAAGACTGCGACAGAACAATTGACCTTGTGCAGATTACGATTACGAATGAAGTTTCCGTCGGAAAAGGAAATAAAGTATCTATCTGGCAACAGATACCGACGATACCAACTGACAGATTTTAAGAAACAACGGTGTTCAATGTTGTCGTTCCATAGGCACTTTCCCTCTCGTTATGTGCAGGGATTGTTGATAAGTGTAGTAACCGTATCTAGTACCTAGTCTAGCGTTGAACCGAACAATTAATTTTTTTTTCTTCTTTCCTTCATCCTGCGCGACATTGCTTAGAGCCAAGAGTTACATCTATTAAATTTGTGATTTGTGAGTGGGACTTGTGGACCCCCCACGAGCCGCCGTTGAGATTTGAAGTGGCTTCTACTCTGCATCTTAAAACTTAATAACTATGGAGTATAGAAAGAGCAGTACAGAAGTATGCCCACCGCTTGGAAGCTGCAGGATGGCTGTATGCGTATCAAGGGATAGTCCCATGCAATTTCATGGTTAAGTACATCATCTGAATATATCAATTGGCAATTCCAGATGTCCACATATTACCTAGGCAGGTACCCTAGTTATCAATATATGTAGGTGCACATATCAAGGTGGCGCCTTTCAGTATACATATCCATGATGTAGGTACTATGTTGTATACCTGTGTATCTTAGTATATACGTAGTACAGATGTTAGTACAATTTTACGTGAGGGAAATGGATTGATCTGACTCGCCGAATGGTGTTAGCCTGAGCACAACTCGCACAAACCAACCAATGAATCCCCGTATTTTGCCGCACCCATACATGAGAAGGATCGCCTATCTCAGGTTATGTAATTACAAGATTGTCAGATATGGGAAGCTGCTGGAATGCGTTTCTGAAGGTTCCCAGAGCTTCGGTACAGTTGTGATACAAGATGACGTGCCTTGAATTCAATTCGAAACCCTTAGCCTTTTAGCTCTAGACCCTTACATATGTACCTGCGCATGAATTCTGCCGTTTCGATCTTTAGGGTCAAAGTTCAAAGGTTGAAGGTTGAAATCATTCGGATAGACGCTAAACGTGGCAGGCGTGGTGGCCAGGTTGGTAGAATTAGGTTTGTTCCCATGTGGTTGAGATGGATGTACTGGATCGAATTAGGCTACCTGCAGTTGCCAAAGTTTGACTACTTTGTAGAAGCGCTCTAATCATCTAACTCGATGAGGTATCATTCGCTCGTTCTAGATCTCTTCTAGGGCACTTATATACGAGAATGATATGATACGGTAGGGCCGGGCATTTACTAGCCTATCGCTCGTGATCACTTAGCAATATAGTCCTATACTGCCCTTATTAAAGGTACATATCTATCTAGGTAAGCAGGCAAACAAACGACAACAATATTAAGCCAGACGTATAAATTGATTAGACTATTTCCTTCCTGTAAGACTTAATTCGATGGTCCTATTCCGCAATAAAGCCACGTATTTAAAAGTGTTTTCAGCCGCTTACAATATTCGTATCAACGATCGTGGATGCTGTATGTATCTACCTACCTAATTAATAGTTGGCACTTGTAATATAGTCAGCTCGCTCATCTCGGCAGGTGTGCTGTGTGCCAATGATTCAGCTCGTTCATTTTGATTAATATCCTTAGCAATGTATCCGTAAGAGGAGAACCTGAACTCATTCATCTGATAACGGCGGTTAGCAAAATAAAAAAAATAAGGTTCATAATAATACAAAGAAATGACATACTTTATACCTTTAAATCCTGCGCATTGGATTGAAGTTCTCCCTTATATACTTACCGAGGTAATAAACGCATTCTGTTAACCCGCCAAGAACTGACAGACTACCCAGTTCTATGCATGCAAGTATTCAGAAGCTGACTAGCTTCATCACCTCTCAGTTCATCTTGAACGGATAGGAATAAATCAATAGTTCCTATTGGAAACCGGAAAACCCGAGCCGTCGATCGAAGAAAGGCGAAAATAGGTGTTACGCCTTGCCACCACCCGTCCTTAATATCAACGACCACGACACCTACACTAAGCCTCTAAGACATGTGTATTGTAACTAGAATTTCTAGCTGACCGCCCGATTGAAACATAGCGACTGTAAGACCGATGCTGATCTAATGTCATGGCCGAGGTCTCTGTGTCATGAATCCAGTTTTATGTGATGTCGCTAATATAAGCAGACGAATTCCCTCAGGACACACGACAGCCTAGGTGGTGGTCTGGTGCTACTGACTGATGCAGCTGAAGTCGACGAGTAGAGCTTCATTATCGAAAGGTCAGCTTATCGACTATCAGGATGTCTAAGCCCTAGTTCAAGGTTTCCGTCAGGTAGAGAGACGGGTATTATCCGTCTGTGCTGTGTCTGTTGCTTTAAGGTGTGTGAGGCAAAGACTGGCTAGCACGCGGCACACTGGCGGCACATTGACGTGGCAGTCCATATTAATCTTGAGATCGATTTGACGATGGAGGACGGCAATTGGGCCGATGCTGGCCAGTAATAGGATAGCTTTGGACGTATCGCACGTGATGGGTTTATCGCCGAATCCCCTCTTGAATCTTGGGAGCTGAAGGCCTCCTTCCAAAATTTTTAATTTTTGCGACAAGGAGTGGAAAGCGGCGAAAATCCCCCAGCCACCCGTTCCCTTCAAACAAGCCCCGAGCGTTCTCTGTTTTTTTATTAGGAGCTCAGACTATCAGAGCGTAGCAGGCCTTTTAATGTGGGGCAAATCTTCCCAGCCCATCATAATAGCCAAGAGAAACAAGAGCAAGAGCAACCAGCTGCCAGCAAAGCTCGGTTTTCTGTTTGAACCTTACCTGGTCGTTTGCCGTTTACCTATATCGATGTCCCCACAGTTCGTAGTCGGGATCTAAACAAAACAACGTTATAACGTTATACCTTATACTCGACTTTCGAGCCGTTGCGACGGTATACATACCTAAATAATCTTTTAATATACTCTCTATCCACTATTAATTATCGAGAGAGTTTTTCTGAATGGACTCGATTATACGTAGGAAGTCCAACCCTTCAAGATGATGACCAGAGAGCATCATCGCCGGCGGAGTCCCGAATCAACTCGCCGCCGGCGCAAAGAGCGAAGGAATTCTCGAGAGCAACTTCAGATCCAGCCAGTCCCATTGCCCATAACGCGTTACGAAGAACGAGACGAACACCAAGAAGAGCGAGCGCGTGCCTTCTCACCCCTATCTTCCTCTTCCTCCACATCTTCTTCCCTCTTAAATATCTCCCGACCCTCTCAGCGATTTGGTTTTGGTAAATTCTTTGGTGGCGGACAGAAACAGCATCGCGTAAAGAAGAAGAGGCGTTTTCTGAAATTTGGCAACTCCTCTTCGTCGTCTGTAGGGTCTGATCTTGCCTACGGAAAAGGGTATATTGAAAAGGGCAGGAGTCGCGAATTTAGCCCCCCCACTAGTAGTCATGGGAGGCCTCAGGCTTCACGACGCTCACAGACTGACGAAGAGATACTTGAATTGGGAAGGAAGTTTGCAGAGATCGCTAGACAACAAAATGCTGAAGACCTTAGAGCAGCTGGGAGAAGCCGGCCTTCGACACTGATTGGCGCAGCTTCGGCATTGAGTCACTTTCGTAGGACGAATAGCGGGAATTCTAACAGGGGGATTGGTAGTTCCAAACCGCGTCGCGACTCTTCTCCGGATGATTCTGAGTGGGAGTCCGCCTCTGATGACGATGACTCGTCTAGTTCGGAATTTGACTCTGGACTAGCATACGGCTCGGGCCTCAGCTTACAAGCTTCTGCTGCACCACCGCCTCAACCGCCTCAATCGCCTCAATCGCCTAAGTCGCCTTGGTCGCCTTCGCGCCTTCTAAGTTCTCCTCGTTCTCTTCAGTCTCCACAAAGAAGCCCGCCTCCCCACCGAAAACCATCGGTGGTCGACCCTAATCTCTTCGGGCCCGTGAATTCTCTCCATGGTCATGTCGAGACTCCTTGTGGATTTGAGAAGGTTGATCGATCCACGGTTAGCGCTCAGCGCCGACCATATGAGCCTTCAAGTCCGCCCAGCGAAGTTTTGTCCGAGACCCGCCCATTGCAACGTCTGTATCCCGTTCCAACGTCTGATCCGAGCAACTTCGACGCTGGAGGATCTGTTGTATCCGGTCCCCGAGATTTTCCCACCCGAGCTCGGCCTGCGCCAGTACCCGTGCAGCCACCCCCAATACAACAACCGAGACCGATAGCACCGGTTTCTAGGAAAGTTCTTGACTCTGTGGAAACTGATTCTAGATACTCGGAACGCTCGTCGTCTAAAAATGCAATTGGGGAGGCTGCCATTGCTGGCGTAGCTGGTGCAGCGATAGGTGCGGCGTTAAGTTCTGATCGAAGAGATGATCGTGATAAGCGCGAGAGTAGACGCGAACGTGATGGCAATCGTCGGACAAAGCGCTCAGATGCTGGTGTTCGGGATGAGAAGACCGAGAAACGCAAGAGTCGCGAGAACCTTGGCGAAACCCGCGAAGTCCGCGAAGAGCGTGTCGATCGCCGACGGGAAAAACGCTCTGAGCCTGATCGGGAATCTGAACGAGAGAGACATTGGCGGGAAAAGATAGTACCGGAATTGAAGCGAGAGTCTGAAGAGAAACGTCGTCGTGATGATGACGGCTCTGATCATGAGCACGATAATGTTCCAGATAAACGCAAGGATGAACGAAGAGAGGA